GTATGGGACTAATGCTAAAACCACCAGAACCCCCATTGGCTACGGGCCTGTCACTATACTGTGGCAAACTGAAATATCAGGATGGATCCATTCAGTCATGTTATTCACGTCAGATTCTGACCTTATATAGCCAAATGTTGCTGCAGAAATTGAGACTCATCAGACCATGCAAGCTTTTCCCAATCTTCTGTTTTCCAATTTGGTGAGCCCATGTGAATAATTTCATTTTCATGTTCTTAGCCATTTCGTGTAATAGATCTAGATCATCTATTTCTGAAATTCTCAAACCAGCCTGTCTGCCATCAAAATCCATTCACTCAAATCACCTATCTTTCTCATTCTGCTGCTCAATTTAACCTTCAGCAGATCTTTATGATGTCTACATATTTAATACACTGAGCTGTCATGTAATTGGCTGGTTAAATATTTGCGTTAACAAGCAGTTAAACAGGTGGAACTAATAAAATGAGTGTTTGGTTTCATTGTAATATCACTCTGTCTGCTGCTTTATGATGTTTGACATGTCCTTTTAAATCAGTAACACAAAGGCTGTGATTTACTTGCATTTGTGGTGCATCTGTTCTTTTTTCATCTCATCCTACTTTATAGGAAAGTAATGAAATGGCATATCAGTGGACTCACTGGCACATCATAGAGCTCAGCACCATGGTACTGTGAGCAAAGCCTTTTCTCACTCTCCAAATGTGAAAAACATTTGGCCTTTAATGGCAAAGCCTTTCCTCTCAGATTTTTCCAAAAGACTTAGGCTGCTGGTGCAGCGTTTTGTGGGACATTGAATATGTGAGGCTAGTGTACTAGGAAGGCTGTTTCATTCAGTGCTATTAGTCTTTTGTAGCCCTGCCGCAGAGGAAAAAAAAAAGTAAGATCTTAATGAGTCTGAGCCTGATTGTTTTAACAGCTCACAGTGTCACTACCCTGGAAGTTTGACTAGACCGTTAAATCATTGCAACAATGGTCTTTCTCATACTCATCTCTCTATTTCTCTTTCCCTCTACTTTTATTTTTTTATTTAGGTAAGTGTGTCCTTAGCTGAACTCAAGTGTAAAGTTTAGCGCCAAAGGCAGCTATAACACCACTAATATTAATAGCAGTGGAAATATGCACACAGTCTGAGCTCTTTCTGTGAAAAATTATTTCCAGAGACATTTGAAAATGTTTAGTTGAACTTCTAACTGGAGACTTCTGTTGGCTTTTTAAAATGTAAGCTTATTTCCGTATTTCATGCTCATTTCAAAGCAGCGTCAGACTTAGAGGGTTTGTTTACCCAATTTTATGAACTCTCAAATTTCATCAATCACATAAATGTAATGTTTACAGTGATAAACTGCCAATGTGAGTTCATATTGTTTATTTGATTGTATTGACTGACTTCTTTGCCTAAGTGAGGAAGAACAGCATGACATGTGTCATGATTCTTGTTCTGATTCATTCCCTGATTCTATTGTAAATAGCCTGTGGGTCTTTTATAATTGTATTTTAACTGTAAAGGGTGAAATCCATTTGTTTGGGAAGCTGGATCCAGATTTAGTTGGAATGCTTCACTAGTGAAGCTCGCCAAACAGAGAAATATTTTCTCGAGGGGCCCGTGATGTTGACCCCTGGCCTATGGCAGAACACTCATGGAGGTCTGGATCTGCAGTAAACAAGTGTCAGATATCACTGCCTGAATCGCACTGTCCCTGAGTGGGTATTGCTTCTGTGTAGTGCATTAACCTTTACCACCTACCAGAATCAGCATTAGATGTGGTGATCATTGGCGTGTGCTATAGTAATTTTGTCTTTGGCTTCTTTTATGTATAACACAGAATAAAATGGAATTTTCTAACTCCAAGGATCCTCAAATATGATGAGCCCCATGTGAAGGACGCCAATTGTAACATATAAATACAGCTGTTTATTTTTGGTCACCAACTTTCTGTATATATTTCTGTGTCTGTGAAACTATGCAGTTTTGATGAAACTGTAAAACAAGTTTTTTAAATGTTATGGAGGGTTTTTATTAGCCTCATCAACCAGTTCACAATCATTGTTAAAATGTCTACCTTGACTAGATTAAATAATGTTCCAAAGCCCTTTCCAAATGCATAAGTTTAAGTTTTGTGAATTATAAGCAGGAGAATAGTAGGTAAGGAACAGTCTAAAAAGTCTACACATTGCATTAAAATAAACCTGCATTTTCAATGATACGTTATTTCATGATGACAGTCTGTGAGACTGAGCTGTTTAAGGCATGCACAGAATACCACAGAACTTCTCCTTCACACTTTTAAAAATAAACCTAATTGAGCTGTGCATGAATGAATGGTGACCACTTAAAAGAGGATGGGATATGTTTTTTCTCAATTGTTGTGGTTGTTGTTTAACCCTAAAACAAAAGTCTATAGGTCATGATAAGCATAGGACAAACAACCTATTTGGTCACATTTTTAGAGGAAGGAACTTTCAGTGTTTCACAACTGATTCATGATCTGTACAAACCATAGCTCGCTGTTTTGGTTGCATGTAACTTGTTACTTTTAAAAGTTCCCTCAAAAAGTAACTTATTACATTACTTAATTACTTTTTATGGAACGTAATGCATTATATTACTTTTATAATAAAGTTATTTTTGGGTTACTTTTCCCTATGGCTGAGGTTTGATCTTTTTCAGAACTTGCAAGTGTTTTTTCACATTTTTTATAAAGAAGCTCTGCATTTAATAACCACCTATGACCTACACCCTTATTTTTCTTTAAAAATGTAGAATAAAATTATATTTTGAGAACTCTTCTGAACCCAGAGCTATACATGCTGTATATACATATTAATGACAACATGTAAAGTGTTTGCTACTTTTGTACGTTTTTGTGTTATTAGTTGAGTAAATTCACTGTCCATTGAGATAAGGACTGCAATAAAGCCTGAGTGTACTAACATAAAATCATTTATATTGAGGCAAAAACTGGTTTTAAAATGTTTAATAACAAGTGCAGGTGCAGGGTGCAGGTGTAGTGCTTTGCATTCAGGTTTGTTTGTTTGTTTGTTTGTTTGTTTGTTTTCGATGTAGTGTTTCATGCAGTTGTCAAGAGTTTTACTTGCACATAATCTACACTTACCATAATAAAAATCCACTTATTTTCTTCGATGAGTTCGAAATAACAAGAATCATTGCAAAAATGTAAGTCTCCGGCCTGCCATTGTTTCTGTTTCTGACTGTAGTGATGACAAGCGATTCCCAAATGATTTGTTTGTTTTAACCAGTGATCTTTTAAGTGAACTGGAACTGAAGTTGAATCTGAAGTTGAATCATTTCATTAAATTTAACTGAGTTTCCATTAAACGGTTTGTTGAATTAGGTTCTTGGTACTGGGTGGTCGAACAAAAACAATACATTTTATTGGTTTAGTTTCATTTATTTATTTATTTATTTATTTATTAATGTATTTATTTACTATTTAATTTGTAATTTAACCTCTACATAAGCCATAAGAACTGACGTCCCTCCTTGAAAAACTTAAACTAAAACTCAAAGGCTGCACGAAGGCGCAGTGGGTAGCACGTTTTGCCTCACAGCAAGAAGGTCACTGGTTCGAGCCTCAGTTTGCATTGAGATCAGTTAGCGTTTCTGTGTGGAGTTTGCATGTTCTCTCTGTGTTTGCGTGGGTTTTCTCCGGTTGCTCCGGTTTCCCCCACAGTCTAAAGACATGCGGTACAGGTGAATTGGGTAGGCTAAATAGTCCGTAGTGTGTATATGTGAATCAGTGTGTATGGATGTTTCCCAGTGATGGGTTGCAGCTAGAAGGGCATCCGCTGTGTAAAACATATGCTGGATAAGTTGGCGGTTAATTCCACTGTGGCAACTCCAGACTAATAAAGGGACTAAGCTGTAAAGAAAATGAATGAATGAACTAAAACTCAAACTAAAAAGGCAGACAAATAACCCACATATCGTAAAATTAACCGCTTTTTTAGTTTCCCACGATTAGTGTAGTTATTACTTACACTCTCTGACCCCATTGCAAAGACACTTTATTTCATCTGACAGACTTTTTTTAGAAGAACCATCTCACCATAAACTAATTACGAGCTTCTGAATAACATTTAAGAGCCCATCTTGACCTGGCGCAAGCATGTAAATGTGAAGGCAAGCAGGCTTTCTCTCTCCCTTGAGACCACTATCAGTGTGAAAGAATTCTTCTCTTGCATAAACACTAGAAAGTGCACATGTTGCCACGTTTGATGGCTTTGTTCACCTAAAACTGAACATTCGGGCATCTTTTTCTCACCCTTCACTTGTCATAAACTGGCTATTTACACAAATTTATCTTTATCTTATTCACTTTGGAGGAAAAATAAATAGAAATTAAAATAAAATGTATGTGTGAACTATCTCTTTAAGCATGCCTAGCTCCCCGGTGATCTGTGACTAGTAAAATGAGTCCTCTATGGCTACTTAGTGAAAGTGACGGCCTTTGCTTTTAAAAGCCACATGCTTTTGAGGTCCACGAGAAGCACATATTGCTCCATCCAGTGCTACTGCTACTGTACCCAAATGATGTGTGTGCCCCTGATTGCTCTCTGCAGGAGCATTTTTAGGTGTGAAGCATGTCAGCGTTAATGGAGCAATGTGTTTAGTCAGTCGGGGTCGTAGGATACATATTTCATCACGCACACAAACCTTAGTCCCACATACCTAACCGCCCGGCGCGCTTCAGTCGATACATTACCTCAGACTTCAACATTCAGCTTAAACCTGTTTAAACATTCCTTTGCCAGAAGATTCCACTCACCTGCCATATCTCCCATTGATTCACTTCCTCAGAGCTCCTTTAAACGACCCTGTTTTCAGAGGGAGCTTAAATCAACAGTATTATTTACAGGGAAGTGGATCACACACCTGCTTTGTGATTATGTGTGTGTTTTCTTTCCTGACGTTTCTGCTGGATGAATGTTGTACTGTGTCAAAGGTAATATTTAAATGTTTGGATTGTGGATTTTAGGTTACTGGTAGGAGCCCCACTGGAAACAAATGGACAGCATCAGACAGGAGACGTGTACAAATGTCCCTTAAGCAGACGATCTGGAGGACCCAGCTGCTCCAAACTCAATCTTGGTACAGTTTTTTTTTTTAAGTACAACCCCAAATCAGAAAAAAATGAGACAGTATGGAAAACACAAATGAAAAAATGTAGTAAATTACTTTGACTTATATTTTATTGCAGACAATCCAACAAATATTATTTAATGTGTTCCTCAATATATATGTATATATATATATATATATATATATATATATATATATATATATATATATACATAGTGCTCAGCATAATTGAGTACATCCCATTTTGAAAATGAATATTTTTATCAATTTCTTAGTAATTATGGGCAATGTATATTGGTTCATTTAAACAAAACAGATTTATTAAACTAGCATATTTATTAAAAAAAATATCAAACATATATAGAAATTGAAAGATTATACAATTAAATTCAAGCAAAGTAATAATAAAAATATATATTTTTTTGCTTTGCTGTCTGATGAAGAGCCATGTGCTCGAAACGTTTTTGAATATATATTCTGCACTTTTTGCGGTTTTGCTGAGCACCCAGTTAAAGTGATGTGTGTGCTTTTGTACATTTTTTTCTTGACCTTTCCTCTTTTTAAAATTTGTATTTAATGTTTTTCTTAAAATTTGGGGGGCAACATGGTGGCACAGTGGGTAGCGCTGTCGCCTCATAGCAAGAATGTCGCTGGTTCGAGCCCCGGCTGGGACAGTTTGGATCTCTGTATGGAGTTTACATGTTCTTCCCATGTTCGCGTGGGTTTTCTCTGTGTCCTCCGGTTTCCCCACAAGTCCAAAGACATGCGGTATGGGTGAATTGGGTAAGATAAATTGGCCGTAGTGTAAATATTTATGCTTATTATACATTTTAGACACGTATTTACATCACAATTAATACATAAACTTAACCAAAGTTCATTTTTATTTGATTTATTTTTGAATTTTGACTGATTTAGTTCTAAAGCACTTTTCAACTATAAAACATGTTCTAGTACATTGTGTCTGGTTTAATTCTATGAGGGTTTTTTCTATTCACTTCTATTTTTTGTAGAGAATTTTAATACTGATAAACCAAATAGTTTGAGTTTTTTGTCAAAAATACATTGTAAAAACTTTCTTGCCATCAAAATAAGCTGGAAGCTTAGCTTAAGCTTAGAAGCTGGAATTTTGCTAAACACGAACAAACACTGGATAATTTTAATATCAATTGCAGATGCAATCATTTTCTTTAGAAAATACAAGTCAATTTATTTATTTTCTTTCGACTTTGTGCCTTTATTCATCAGGAGTCACCACACGGAATGAACCGCCAACTTATCAGTGTATGTTTTACACAGTTGATGCCCTTCTAGCTGCAACCTAGAACTGGGAAACATCCATACACTCTCATTCACACACACACAGACACACTACAGCCAATTTATTTTATTCAATTCATCTAAACCTCATGACTTTGTACTGTGGGGAAAGCGGAGCACCCAGAGGAAACCCACACGAACACAGAGAGAACACACAAACTCCACCCAGAAATGCCAAGTGACTCAGCTGGGACTCGAACCAGCAACCTTCTTGCTGTGAGGCAACAGTGCTAACCACTGAGCCACTGTGTCGCCCCATACTAGTCAATTATAAAAGGCAATTGGATGTAATAAATAAGGAGTCTTGCATGAAATCTGTATTTTTATTGTTAGTGCTTTAATACATTACTTCATTAGTTTAAGCAAGTTTTAATCTGTATGAAAACAACTGAATCCTAATGAAGCACATTTTCTGTATCTTTTTTATTATCAGTTTATTATCAGTTTAAATCTTCATTGGTTAACTGAAAATTTCCTTAACTATAATTTGATTCCTGAGATTAACTCTGGGTGACTGTGGATTAAAACTCCAGATAAATAATTAGCATAAATATTTTTTGTGAATGCACTTTAAAAGGAACTGTATTGATTTACTAGCACCACATAATTACTTCACAAAGCTTTCATAATAAGGGTTGGAGTTGTGGTTTGGCTAAAGTGTTACCAGGCATGCCTTGTGAAAAGCAACACATTGATTCATTCAGATGCACTCCTGATGTTTAATTGAGTTTACATGTACACATCTGGGTTCTTCGCTACAGAACGCAACATTTATGCAGAGCATGTGTGTTCTATATAATGTTAAGTGTGCCGATACAGTCACGAGTACGCATATGAAACAGATGCACCCTGCAGATAAAGTCAGGAATGTCTAGACAGGATTACCAAATATGTTTACAGTTAGAGGAAGTCCCTGTTTAAAGTACATATGCTACATATGGAGTGTGGTCAGATTTTATAGCACAGCCTTTTATTTTGTTTCCACATTGGCAACATATTTTGAATTTGTTTCTTAAGGAAAGATATCGTTGACAAATGTATCTGAACGAAAGGAAAGGATGAGACTTGGAATGACCCTTTCGTCCAACCCTAAAGACAACAGCTTTGTGGTGAGTATGCTTGATTACATACTGTAGTTAAAGGTGCAGTAGGAGGTTTTGGAAAATGCTAAAGTTGGCCTGATAACACTGAAAGCCTAATAACATTGTTGGCTTGATAACATCCAATCCTGCAAGTCTCACCCAAAACCAATCCTCCTGAACACATGAGCAAGCACTAGACAACATAAACGTTCCTTTGAAGTAATCCTTTCTGCCCAAACAGGGTGCGTTAAGGTATGCAATTACATACTTTGACAGGCAGGTAGGACAGCCTATAGTAATGTTTGGACCAAATGTTTTGATTAGATAAACTTTTCTTGGTCCTACACCTTCCAAGTAATATTAAAATGCATTTAAATACATTTGGACCAACTTGAATTTAATTAAATTATTGCTATCAGGATGTGAAGAGAGTTTCAACTAGCATAACAAAAAATGTTCCTAAAGAAAATCACTTATTGCACCTTTAAAAATGTTTATTTAGTGGTATATACACTTGCCAATCACTTTATTAGGTTCACCTTACTAGTACAGGCCTGAACCCCTTTTTGCCTTCAGAACTGTCTTAATACTTTTTAACATGATACTGGAAATATTCCTCAGAGATTTTGGTCTATAGTGACATGATAGCATCACGCAGTTGCTGCAGGTTTGTCGACTGCACATTCAAGATGCAAAACTCCCTTTCCACCACATGCCAAAGGTGCTCTATTAGATTGAGATCTGATGACTGTGGAGGCCATTTGAGTACAGTGAACTCATTGGCTGTTTCTCAATATGCAATTTTCAGTGGTCTTGCATCCTCCTTTTCTCGTGTAACGTCATCATCAACTGCCAAAGTATAGTTCCAATACTCAAAACCGCAAGTACGGAGGATGCGTAAAACTTCCCGGATGTGACCTTGAAATCGAGTATGCTGCATTTTATTTAGATTTATTATTAAAGTTCAGAGAAATGACTTATTTACCTCAGGAGTTTCCCTAAATGAAACGGTGAGGTAGAATGTGGGGGGAATGTCGCAGCAGAAATCGGGACTCATCAGACCAGGAAACGTTTTCCTCAAGGTTGGACGTATTTGTGCATTCAGAGATGCTCTTCTGCATAACTTGGTTGTAACAAGTGGTTATTTAAGTAACTGTTGCCTTTCCATCAGCTCGAACCACTGTGACCATTCTTCTCAAACCTCTGGCATCAACAAGGCATTTGCGCCCATAGAACTGCCGCTCACTGGATATTTTATTTTTTTCAGGCCATTCTCTGTAAACTCTAGAGATGGTTGTGCTTGAAAATCCCAGTAGACAACAGTTTCTGAAATTTTCAGAACAGCCAAGTGGCACCACCAACCATGCCACGTTCAAAGTCACTTAAATCACCTTTCTTTCTCATTCTGATGATCAGTTTGAACTGCAGCAGATCATCTTGACCATGTCTACATGCCTAAATTCATTGAGTTGCTGCCATGTGATTAGCTGATTAGACATTTGTGTCAACGAACAGTTGGACAGGTGTACCTAGTAAAGTGGCTGGTAAGTGAATATATTACATTCATCTAGACTTCTAAAATGCTAATATTTACTATTCACTCACCCTACACTTATTCCAAACCTTTCTGGTTTTCTTTTTTTGTGGTATTGTTGTTAATGGACAGAAATTGGGATAATTTAAAAGATATTGGAAACCGGTAAGTGTGTGTGCATGTAAATCAGTTGGTACCAGTTTCCAGCATTCTTATAATATATTCAGTAGAGAAAAAAAGGTTAGGTGAGGGTGCTAAATAATGGTGCAATGTTCATTTTTAAGGGAACTTTTTTTTAGTGGTTATGCATCACTCAATATCTGTGAAAGACTGAAATCATAATTTTTCTCAAATGAGTTCATGATCTTTATGTAAATCATAACTTAATCCTTTTTATTCTCTTTGGGATAATTTACAGGCTTGTGGTCCCCTCTGGTCATATGAATGTGGCAGCTCATACTACAGCACTGGAATTTGCTCCAGAGTCAATGCCAGCTTTAAATTTTCCCGCACTATTGCTCCTGCTTTCCAAAGTAAGCAGAGCACACCTGCACCTTCTATTTAATTGGTACAGTTTTTGAAGTGACATTTTAGTAATATGTTTCCACTTTCTGTCTTTGCCATGGACTTTATTTTTATGCTTAATTTGGCCATGACTGTTTCTGGATCTGCCATAAGCAATTTATTGTGGAATGAATCTTCTTGTTAAAAAGAAAATGATTGTGACTGCTCATAAAAATAAAAAAAACTGTTGTAAATTTTTTCTAAAGCACAGATCACAGGCCATGTTTTAAAAATTAGCTTCTCAACAATTCTATTAACATTTTATTAGTTCATTATGCCAAAATCATCATAAAATATCTAAATTCCCGTCATCAGGGTGTGAGACATACATGGATATAGTGATTGTCTTGGACGGTTCAAATTCAATCTACCCCTGGAATGAAGTTCAAGACTTCCTTATCAACATCCTGAGGAAATTCTACGTTGGACCGGGACAGATTCAGGTGTTTTTGACTTTCTGAATAACAGCTGTGTGAAATAACATTTGTGTCTTAGTTTTTGTAATGTAAGGTGGATCATGTTCTTGTCAGGTTGGAGTACTCCAGTATGGAGAAAAGGTGGTAAGCGAGTTTCAGCTGAATGACTTCCGCTCTGTGGAGGACGTGGTCAAAGCAGCCCGAAAGATTGGCCAGAGAGGAGGAGAAGAGACCAACACTGCGCTGGGAATCAATGTTGCACGGTAATATGCATACAGATACTTTTGAGAACCTACAATGAAATCGAACAATTGGTCTGAATATTACAGAATAAACCCCAGCCTCAGCAAGCAATCAGTGTCGTGCACAACCATTCTAGTTTACAACAGAGTGTGTTGTATATACAATTAAAATGTTGCATGTCCTTATTCTGGGTGCTGCAGTCTCTGTAGATAATGTGGTAAACAAACCATGTCAGCAAATGTGAGAACTGCAAACTGTTATAAATGACCAATGCTGTGATTTTGTTTGTTTGTTTATAAACTACAGTGGTATAAAGAATGTTACAATTTATAACAGCTGTTTTCTATTTTAAATAAATATTTTTAAGAAGCTATTTTTCAGTACTTTCAGTAGCCATGCAGTCTTAAGTATCACATGATCAGTAATGTGCTTAGTCACTAGGAACCATTTCTTATTATTGTCAATGCTGAAAGCTTTAGTGCTGTTTAATTAATAAACACTATCATATTGGTTTGGTTTTTTTGGTTGTTCAGCATTGATTTGTAAAATTCAGAATCTTTCCTGCCATATTAATTGACAGTTTAATGCACCATGCAGAGTACTGTATAATTTCTTAACCCTCCTGTTGTCTTAGAATTCTGTTCACCCTTCAGGTCAAAAATAACCCGCTTTCACTAAACTTCTAAAATAAAGCAGCTAAATTTATTTTATTTTTTCCATTAGGAAACAACATGTAATGTTTTATAAACAAATTTCGGGAGGAGCATGCACAGAAGTTTCAGTATCGAATACGTCATTGACAATTATCCCATCATCAAATCAGTTCTTCAGCAACCCCTATATATACCAAAGCTGTTTTACCTGCAGCATCTCACGACTTTAGCATCCCTCCACCACCCTGTCACCTCACCTCTTGCATTACATTCCTGGGGGGAGCGTTCTGGGGCCGGGCTAGATACTTTGCTCGAATCCCAACTCCTCTTTGTTTCCTTATAAGGGGAATCACTCGAGTTGGGGTGTCTCCTCGAGCTCAGAGCCCTCCCCCCGGACAGCACGCCAAATATGCTTTATACTTAAACAAATGCAAGTGTGAACTCGTGAAATTCATTACAAACTTTGAATCTTTAAGTTCATCAGTGTGGAGTATTTCATCAGTGTTTAATCAGTGGACACCACTCAACCACTCAAGGAATGGTACAATTTTCTAAAGCTAAAAGTACCCGCATAAGTGTAAAAAAGTTTTTATTAAGACAGTATTCTCAACAGATTTCTATTGTGGGTCTGTGTTGTTGTGTGTATGTTAGAGCCAGTAGTTTATGTGGTGTAAAAGGGGATTAATAGCTCATGAGTCAAAAATGACCGGAAGAACAACCATTTTACCCTAAATGTGTACAGTCTTTATAAAAATATTAAAAGTTTCTTTTTTTTTTTTTTGCTGTTAAACTGATGCCCGGATCATTTGTGACCCGTAATTCAACATGAGAGTTTAAAAATTGTTTGGTCACACTTTATTTTGATGGTCTGTTTGTTGAAATTAAGTTACATTGCAACTAATTCTCATTCAATTATAAGTAGACTGTTAGGTTGGGGTTAGGGTCAGTGTAAGTTGACATGTACTTGCAAATTTTCTTCGAGTCAGTTAAATGTCTGCTGAAGGAGCAGTATCAACATATTAAGCAGACAGTCTACTAATACTTAAATGGACCATCAAAATCAAGTGTTACCAATTGTTTAACTACATTTACAAAGTACAAACTAAATGGATGTCCATGCACATGAATCTTGTGTAATCTCTGGATATTCACAGCTCAGAGGCCTTTAAACAGGGAGGCAGAAGAGGAGCAAAGAAAGTCATGATAGTCATCACAGATGGAGAATCGCATGACAGCGCAGACCTCCAGCAGGTTATTGAGGAAAGTGAGAAGGACGGCATCACCCGATATGCCATTGCTGTAAGGATTGCCTTCCTTAATTTACTTACAATCTCTCCTTTTGTATTTACTGTGCCATTGATCAGAAGCCAGGCCTTTATAAACTGAACATTAGAAAAGTCATTGAGGTCACATTCAGCTGCTGACACAAGTGAAAGAAAACCAGTTCTTTCCTATTTATTGAGTCTCAGATTTGAGACGTGGTCTTGGGCACTCAGCAGCCATGCGTCATGTTCAGGCTAATTAATTTTTGGGGTTCTTCTTCGCACCAGGTACTGGGTTACTACAACCGCAGGGGCATCAACCCTGAAGCTTTCCTCAACGAGATTAAGTACATCGCCAGTGACCCCGATGATAAGCATTTCTTCAACGTGACAGACGAGGCAGCTTTGAAGGACATTGTGGACGCTCTAGGAGAGAGGATCTTCAGTTTAGAGGGTGGGCGATTATACTATGACAGCACCACACACAGCATTGCATCATAGCCATAACACATACCAAAACCTCAGCCTGTAAATCCTTTACATCTCTGCCCAGCACTACATTGTAAATCTCATTAGACCGAATCTTCAAATTTATACCACATCTCTTTGATAGATTGTATGCGCCAGCTCACACGCTAAGACCTCTGAGCTCTATTGTAGGAAATACTGGACTATTTCTTGCTTTTGTTTGTGTTAATTTTGTCTCTGTCTCTGCAGGGACAAGCAAGAACGGGACAGCATTTGGTCTCCAGATGTCTCAAGCCGGCTTCTCCACACACACAGTGGAGGTGAGTCTGGGTGTCCATCAATTCTCGGTTAACTCTACTCTCCTAAAATTTACAGCTCTTTTTTATTTTTTCCAAAAGCAAAATGGGATTAAGTTCTACTTTGTGTGAAGCAGGAGTCAGACGTTCTCTGAATGTTTAGGTTTACCTTCTTTGAACTAAAGCCTTATCTTTCCAACTTTCTTTCTCTCTCCTTATACATTCTTCATTTCTTCTCTTTTCTTCTCTTTCTTTAGGTCGTCTTTATGTGTCACTGTCAGTAGTAAGATCCATCAAAAATATTACACCTTAACAATGGTGAGCAGATAAGATTCCTGCCTGATAACTTAAATGGATTTTCATTCCAAAGAAATGAATTGAGCTCCAGGTTTTCCCAGGGCATGGATTATTGTGAAGTGTGGAGGAGCTGCAACTCAGGGAAGAAGGAAGATGTCTACTCTTTTCTCTCCTTTTCTTCTCGTCTTTTCTTTTTTATTTTCCCCTTTTTTCTTTTACTTTTACCTTTTCTTTTCTGATATTAAAGCAGGGGTTTAGTTCCAACCCTGCATCAAGCCAATTACCTGTAGGTTTCAGACAAGCCTGAAGGACTCAGTTTGATCTGGTGTGCTAAATTAGGGTTAAAGCTAAAGTGTGCAGACCTGTGACCCTCCTGTTTGACATCTGTAAATTGAAGGGATAGGAAAAAACTCATAATTTACTCTCCCTCATGTGAATTTAAACCCTTAAACCAGGGGTGTCCAAACTCAGTCCTGGAGGGCCTGTGTCCTGCAAAGTTTAGTTCCAACCCCGAGCTAATACACCTGAGCTAGCTAATCAAGCTCTTATCCGACTTTCTAGAAACATCCTTGCAGGTGTGCTGAGGCAAGTTGGAGCTAAAACCTGCTGGACACCGGCCCTCCAGGACCGAGTTTGGACACCCCTGCCCTAAACCTTTTCTTCCTTCTGTTAAACACAAAAGAAGATATTTTGATGGTATGCTGGTTGTTGGCTCCTATTAACTCAGGAGTGTCAAACTCAATTCCTGGAGGGCCGAAGTCCTGCACAGTTTAGTTCCAACCCTGCTCCAACACACTTACCTGTAGGTTTCAAACAAGCCTTAAGGACTCAATTAGTTTGATCAGGTGTGTTTAATTAGAGTTGGAACTAAACTGTGCAGAGCTGCGGCCCTTTTGGAACTGAGTTTGACACCTGTGTATTAGCTAATAGTAGAAAAATAATGTGGTAACACTTTATTTTGATGGTCCATTTAAGGATTAGTAGACTGTCTGCTTAATATCTGTTGATACTGACATTTAACAGTCCTTCAACAGACATTTAACTGAGTATAAGAAACTTTGCAATTACTTGTCAACTTACACTGACCCTAACTCCAACCTAACAGTCTACTTATAATGTAATGAGAATTAGTTGCAATGTAACCTAAATTCAACAAACAGACCATCAAAATAAAGTGTGACCAAAAATATTATAGAACTATAGAGCATTTTTCAAAACATCTTCTTGTGTGTGTTTAACAAAAAAAAGAAACCTAAATAAGTAAAGGGTGAGTAAACGATGGCAGAATTTTTATTTTTGGGTGAACTGTCTCTTTAAAGCTAGCTTGTACTCCTGCACAGACTGAGCATCTGACACTCCCATACTGTACCTGCTGTTCTGGCAGGCCGTCTGCCACACTCAGTCCAAAAAAATCAGTACCTGGTGGGTCTGTATCCATCCAAGATCTTCTCCCAACTGTAATGCTAATCATCTCTGTCCGGGCTGGAGAGTTCGCTGATGCAACCCGTCTAATTTTTCCACTCCATCCCCTGAAGGCAAACTCAAACTGCCATGAGAGATATTAATATCTAGTCTTTTTAAAAAAAAAATTGGTGAAAGAAACAGATAGGAAAACTCCAGATGGCCATTGGGATGACTGGAAATCCAATCTATCAGGCCTCTGGATGATGCCTGGAACAGCATTTGCAACAAAAGCAACTTGAGTGTTGAGAGGAGGGATAAGTTGTTGGAAAGAATGTTTGCACTCGAGGAGAAAATCATACCCCTGAATCCAGATGGTCCTCTGTAAAGTGGGATGCATCCAGGTTTAAATATGGCTCATATATTACACACATTCAGCATTTTTTCATGGTTCACATGGCTGTAACTTCCATTGACATTGAGGAAGACGAGTCCATCCCATCCATCCCATAATTATAAATGGCCAAACTGATATTTTTAAAATAAACTTTATTCATAAAACCCAAGCGAATAACAGTAAATGCAAAAGCTTTAGAGAACCATAAGTATATTTTTATATAAATGAAAACATTTAACCCCACCCGCATCATTTGACAACACAAATTAGCATACTTGGAAATAAAAAGTGCACAAATTCAGATGCAGTAGCACACCTTTCGTGCACATCCTAATGTACCGCCTTTTACAGCGAGTCCAACAACCAGTATTTTAAAGGATGTGAATAATTCCAAATCTTTTTTTAAAAAGGTTTTGCTGAAGAAATGTAAAAACGGAAATACAAAGGTACTATAGACTCGATATAGCTCATTTAAAAAAACTGTGTTGTTTCTAACATCCATAGCTGCAATCTGACCTAAACGTACAAACTTATAACATCATGACGTAAACAAAAATACCATGTAAACAAAAAATACCAACTTCAAATGTTTTGAAATTGTATTAATTAATAAATTTAGATAGCACAATCATTATGAATTATTTTTACATTTCAATATCATTTTTACCAAGTTTTAACCTTTTTAACTAAATTATTGTCACAATTGAATTACACATCCCTGACTCTTACACCAGACAGAAAGAAATAGCATAAAAATACATAAATAGAATAAAATAAACTATAATGTGTTATTTGTTCATCATTAGATGCACTAAATAAGAATGATTAGTTACAGTTTTTAATAATTAAACAGTGTGAGGTTATATTATAGTAATAAAAACATTTAATTTACTTTTAGAATCAAATTTTTTGCTTACTTAGAAAGAAAGAACCAATAAAGGTAAGAAAAACCCAAAATCTTCCAGACTGAGCACTTAATCCAGGAAAGAACTAAAGTAAAGCAATCTATTTCAGTTTAGTTTGACATTTACAAGGTTTATAGTTGAGAATCCTAGTGCTTTTATTGAATGTCAGTTCAAAAGATCCACTGTAATGGAAAGGGCAGACAGCGGTGTTGATGGGAGCAAAGTTTACCTGAGCATAAATTTGACATAGAAAAGCCGAAAATGAGAAAAACATGTCCAGTAAAAGTGTTATGAAGTCTAGTGGTTGATAATAAAACTAGCCCAGGGGGAAAAGTAAAGCCCCGCCTTTCTGGTGGCATCAGCTGTCCTGCTTTGTGACTCTGATATTCAGCATACACTGTGGAGCTTGTTGAGTAGAAAAGAAAGCATGCTGGATTTATGGTAGTGGTCATGTGCAATGGGCATCGCACACAGTCAGCGCTCCTTCATGTACGTGTAGCCTGGACCCAGTAGGCAGAACAGAAGTTGTTGAAAAGATGAGGTCACATCATAAAGGCACACAACACAGGAGTCTTTCTGGAAAACGTTGGTGGTTTCATCCACGGTGCATTTTGTTCTCTGATTAAAAACCAGAAAGGCATGATTATCAGTGCTCTGTGTTTATGCTCAGCTCTGATGTATCCTCTAAACTGGAGCAGCTCGTTCCCAGTGGCTTGCAAGTTTGGTAAGAATGTTCCTTCTGGCCTGCGATGGCTCGCAACGTTGCTGTTTGTTTATGTGTAAGCAACCGCCCGGGAATTTGAGCTCTCTCTAAACATGAACTCATTTCACTTGCTCACATTCCGACTACTGTCTACATAATTGATAGTGCGGGATGCCAAGCATTTTGTTCATAATTTACAGCCGAATAAACTCGTCACTAAGGGAATAAATTGTTTATGAGATTTCCATGGCAATTGACTGGAAAGCACTTCCAGAGAAATTATGAAGGAGCTGGACGGACATTGAATGAGAATGATTAGTAGGACTTTGCTGAGAGTCTAACAAGGTCGAGAATGTAAATTCAACTGGAAAATGTGGATTTTTTTGTGTGCTTTTAATCTACAGTAAATTCCTTAAGATATTTTTTTGTTATAGGGTTTTCCAGCAGTGGGGGTTCATGGGTCAGTGTACTCTCAGTGTGCTGGGTTGCAGGTGAAAGGGCGTTCACAATACATGGTGGTTCATCCTGCGGTTGAGACCCTTGATAAAGCAGGAAAGGAAAGGAAATTTTGTTAAAGGGATAGTTCACACAAAATGACAATGTACTCATCCTTGAGTAGTTTTAAATCTGTATGACAAAACAAGAAGATAATTTGAGGAAAGATGAAAACCTTTAAACTATGCAAGTCGATGGTTAAAGGTTTCCAGTTTTCTTCAAAATATCTTCCTGTTTTGTTCAACAGAAGAAAGAAACTCAGATAGATTTAGAACCACTTCTAGGTGAGACAGAACATTCTAATACCTTATGCCCTGAAGGAATGCTGCATCAGGTAAATCATATCAATTCAGTGATTGATTTCATTATTCTTCAGCAATTGTTTCACGATTCATTCATTATAAAAATGATTTGACCCTGTTAACTCCATCCCTTTTATTCTATTTTCCATGTCGTATTTAATATACTGAAGCTAAAGTATAGAATAAATTAAGAGATTACAGCTCTCTGAATTTATAGTTTATAATTATGAGGGAGTAATTTTCCTCTTCTGAAAAAGACGAATTTGGATAAATCTGTGCTGTCCAATTTTAGACCTACTGTATTACAAAATTATCCTTGTTATCTAAGATATTGGAGAAAACTGTTTTACCACAACTACAGAGCTCTCTGGAGCTTAATAGTGTTCATGAAGTTTTTAAATAAGGTTTTAAGGCATATATTAATGCCCTGAATATATTGCAATTAGTCTAAAATGGGGCTGTGAGACTTCTGACAGGGACCTGCAAGTATGAGCATAGATCCCCAGTTCTTTCCTCTCTAGACTGGCTGCCTGTTAGGTCACAGATTAATTTTGGTTTATAAATCCTTAAATGATCTGGCACCTTCTTACTTATCAGATCTTCTACATGTATATAATGCTGGTGGTCTCTAAGGTCTTCTGATCAGTTTATTCTTTCTGTACCATGGTCCCGGTGTAAGCGAAGTGGGGATCGGGCTTTTGCTGTCATCACCCCAAAACTCTGGAACAAGCTTCCAGCTCACATTAGAAACGCACCATCTTTATCTGTTTTTAAAAAGCTTCTGAAACGGCATCTTTGTTTTTTAGCATTTGAGCTATTATGTTTTAATTGTTATGCATGTGATGTAAGACTTATTTTAATTAGTATTGATTGTGTTCAGCACTTTGAGCAAAGTTGTGTTGTAAAAATGTGCTATATAAATAAAAAAAAATTTGTTTAATTAATAAAATACTGATGAAGATGTTTTCTTGCCAAAAAAAGTAATATGTTGAAATGTTTTATTACATGATTATATTTATTTTTAGACAGTTCAATATCATGTTTTAACTTTAAGACTTGCGGTGGACTATTCTTGATTTTCAGCAAATGAAAACATTTGTTATTCTGATACATTTGTATTTTTTTTTTTTTTTTTAAGAAAATGCTCAGAATGATCATATTTCTGTTTATAATTTGGATGAACTTTGCGTGCTAGACTAACTTTGATTTGTCATATGTTTCATATGTTTTGATTACTTCTGTTTGTAAGTTATTTTGGACAAAAACATCTGCCGAGTATAAATTCTACATGTGTATTTTATTTGATGCCAATGTCACTAACATTTATTTATTTATTATTTATTACTTTATTAATGTAGTGCCGTTGACAGCAAATGCACATCAATGTAAAATTAGCTTCAGCAATGCTCTCAGGTCTCATAAAAGAAAATGCGAAAGATGGAAGATTTGGCAAGTTAAAACGCAATAAATGTCTTCATTCATTCGTTTAATGGCCCAGAGTCTGTAGTTTGATGCCATAAGGGTTGACAGAAATAAAGAATATGGTTAGTTTCCTGAATTTTATGTGATTGTGTATATATTGGTATGCTCTGTCTGCAGGATGGTATTTTAGTGGGAGCTGTGGGAGCTTATGACTGGAACGGCGCTGTGCTAAAGGAGACTCGGCAAGGGAAAGTGGTTCCACCGAAATCCTCCTATGAACAAGAGTTCCCAGAAGAACTAAAGAACCATGGAGCCTACCTGGGTAAAAAATGCACACTTACTGTACGCATTAATCAGGGCTATCAGTGCTTATAGCAGAAAAACGCCTCGATCTATTATCTGTCTATCTCTGTTAATGATTACTTTTCATTTAATACTCTTTTTTTCCTCATGTTGGCAAGAGATACACACACTCTGTGTTGGGTGTTATTAGTTACAAAGTAACTACTGTAATTGAATTAGTTTTTAATACAAGTTTACTGTAATTTAATTACAGTTACTACAAAATACTTGTCTTGAATACTGTACCTATATTCAACAGTTCTATATAAATCAATTCGAAGAAGCAGAATAATATATATAATTTATGTTTTTAATATTTTTTATAATTTTGGAATAATTATATTTTTCAAAAATCATTTGTCATTTGTCAAGACAATTGCATATGCTTAAGAAAGAAATTAGTTGATGAATATATGTGAAATTTCTGCCATAAAACTCGCGCCAGATGATGGGTCACCTAATCTGATTGGTTTCTGTCACCTCTGTAGCCAATATCATCAGTTTAAATGCTCCACGTCATTTTATGCTGTCAAGCTGCAGCAGGTGTTCAGAGACCCACCGAATGTGTGCAGCAGCAGTGTGTTATATTCTCACATGGCATTTCTGTGTATATAGTGGCAATAGCAGGTCTCCGTACGTGCTCCACCATAATGATCAAAACAGCAGCAGCGTAGCTGATATATACTGCCAAGCTAAATACATCAACATTACCATATAAATATCATTACCATATTTAATCCCAAGAATGTTCATGACAGAAAAGGTTTAAATTCAGAGAGGTAATTGTAAATAAACACTTTCTTTTATTTAGATAATTTAAATATATTATATTTTGTATTTTGATAGACATATTGTTTAACTTTTAAGCCTTAATTTCAATCTGAAAAAATTCAGATCTAATCTAAAGAATTACTTAGTTTAATTTCTATAGTATATGCATTAAGATTTATTTGAATATGTATTTAGTCAAGTAATGAGATTAATTATTGAGTAAATTACTTTTTAGACAAAGTAATTACAAAAGTAATTTAAATGCAGTTGTAATGATGTAGTAATTATTAACTTTTTAAAGTAACTTACCCAACACTGCATGCAATATACCTGTTTTAAGACTGACAAGCATTTATGATCATCTGCAGGTTACACAGTGACGTCTGTGGTGTCTGCTCGCAGTGGCCAGTTATATGTAGCAGGGGCACCTCGCTTTAACCACACGGGCAAAGTCATCATCTTCACCCTGAAAAATACAGGAGAGCTCACTATATTGCACTCACTCAAGGGACAGCAGGTAATGCAAGTGCATCGCAGATTCTGCTGCAACCCAATCTTAACTTTTTTCAGTGTTTACAGCATTCTTGTTAGACTTGTATCTAATGTTGTCCGATGTATAAACACCAGTGTTAAATTTGGTGTTTTCAATTCGGCACATCTCTCTCCTGGCTTTCATTTGTGAAAAGCAGACTGTCTAGACTTTAAGCCCACACAAGCCATGTGCTTCTCATCCCAATTCTGAAGCATGCAAATAAATTCCCTCTTACAAACAAAGCAATGATATTGAATATTTATCATTTAACAGATGATTAGCACCACAGTAATCAAACAGATATAAATAGCACCCCTATAAATGATAAATACTATTTCAAGTTTCTTAAACAGGTACTTGTGATAAGTGACACATTAAATTAATGTTGTTTTTGCTAGATATTTATATAGTTTGAAATTTTAAATCTTTATTAATATTTCCAAAGAGATGTTTAACAGAGCAAGGAAATGTTTACAATAATTTCTAGTTCATGTTTATGACAGATTTATGACTGTTGTCTTGCTTACGTCAAGTTAAAAACAGATGGCGGTGTACAGTATTTGTTTATGTCAAGTTGTCATAACAAGCATATGTCATATTTGCATTTAAAATGTCACAACTGAGCGAATGACACTTAATTACAATTGTTATAAGCATCCATAAAATCTCATTCACATTTATGACATGTCTTTATGAACACCGCTTCAAGTAAAGTGTTTTACAGGTGTAAAAGTAGTAATGAGTTTAATATCAATGGGGGTGTTTTTACAGATCGGCTCATACTATGGCAGTGAGATTGCTCCAGTGGACATTGATAATGATGGAGTGACTGATAACCTGCTGGTGGCTGCACCCATGTTCTTCAGTGGAGGCTGGGAGAAAGGCAAAGTCTACATCTACAGAGTCACTGAGCAGGTAAAGACCCTTCAGTCCTTTAGCATATTCCTGTGAAAAACAAGTTAATTAGCTATCGAGCTGTTATATTACCTCCTGTTTACTTCTCATGTGGAATGCAACGCTGCAGATGTTGTCTTTTGTCCTAAAGCCTAAGAATCTGAGAAACTGCGACTGTGCATTAATGCATTTTCTCATTAACGGTCTCACATAAATTTTGACAGGCCTTTGCCACCTGCTATACCTCGCACCAGAGACTGGTGAAGGGTGAACTCAGCAGGAAAATATTCCCCCTTGAAATGTAATTATACGAAGCTCACAGAGAGAGAAAGGGAGAGAAAGAGAGCATCGCTTTAATAAATGGAAAAAGCTGGAGCAGATGAACGCTGTGAATAAAGCAGACCTTCATCTTTATTCATTTAGCTGTTATAAGCTATTTCCTTGTGGTCTTAACCAGGGGACCACAATCTGTGTTAGTCCTCAAGATGCAGCCAAACACTGGGTACATCAACAGCGCATGTCATTTACTTGTTTGAATAAATGATTACTTTAAGGCATTATTTAAATGGTATGAACTCTGTGCATTTATAAATCAAACAACCCTTCTCTTCTTGTCTCTCGACTTGTCCTTTTTTATCTCTTCTTGTCTCAACTCTTCTCTTGTTTTCTCTTATCAACTCTTCTCTTCTTGTCTATTCTCGTCTGGTCTTGTCTCTTCTTGTCTCATCTCATTTCTTCTCTTGTGCTCTTTTGTCTTGTTTCCTCTCGTCTCTCTTTTAGTCTTATCTCTTCACTTGCCTTCTTTTATCGTTTCATCTCTTCTCTTCTTGCGTTTTGTCTTTTCTCTTCTGGTCCTTTGTCTAGTCTCTTCTCATCTTATCTCATCAGTTTTCTCGTTCTCTTGTCTTGTCTCTTTTTGCCTCTTCTCTTGTCTTTTCTTATCTCTTATCTTGTCCTCTATAGTCTTCTCTTGCCACTTTTCTTGTCTTGTCTCTTCTCTAGTCTTCTCTTGCCTTTTCTCTTGCTTTGTCTCTGTTGTATTGTCTCTACTTCTCTTTGCTCGTCTCTTTTCTTCACTCTTTTCATCTGTTGTCTTCTCTTGTCTTACCTCTTCCTGCCTCGTCTCTTCTTTTCTTGTCTCATCTTCTCACTTGTCTTCTGTTATCATCTCTTGTCTTTTGGTCTTATCTTGTCTCATCTCGTCTCATCACTTTTTTCTGTTCTCTTGTCCTGTCTCTTCTTGTCTCTTCTCATATTATCTCTTCTCTAGTCTTCTCATCTCTTGTCTCTTCTCGTCTTTTCTTTTGTCTTTTCATGCCTCTGCTCTTGCCTAGTCTCTTCTTGTTTTTTCTCCTCTCTTCTCTTGTCTTCTCTTCTGTAGTCTTGTTTCTTCTCTTAACTTGTCTCTTTTTTTTTCTTCTTGCCTCTTCTCTTATTTCTGGTCTGATCTCATCTTATCTCTTCTCTTGCCTCCTTTCTAGTCTTCCCTTCTTTTCTCATCTTGTGTCTTCTCTAGTCTTCTCTTACCTCTTCTATTGTCTAGTCTCTTCTGGTCTCTTCTCTTCTGTTGTCTTGTCTCTTTTCCTCTCTTCTCCTCTCTTCTCTTGTCTCTTCTCCTCTGTAGTCTTTTCTTGTCTTTCCTTGTCTTGTCTCTTCTCAGCTCTTCTCGTCTTCTCTTCTTGTGTTCTCTTGACTTGTCTTGTCTTGAATCTTCTCCTCTCTTCTCTTGTCTCTTCTCCTCTGTTGTCTTCTCTTGTTTTTCCTTGTCTTGTCTCTTCTCAGTTCTTCTCATCTTCTATTCTTGTGTTCTCTTGGCTTTTCTTGTCTTGTCTTGTCTCATCTCTTTCCTTGTCTTGCCCCATCTTGTCTCATCTCTTCTCTTCTTGTCTCATCTCTTTGCTTGTCTTCTCATGTCCTTTCTTGTCTTGTCTTGTCTGTTCTCATGTCTTCTTATCTTGTCTCATCTTTTTACTTGTCTTTTCTTATCTCATTTTATCTCGTCTAATCTCATCACTTTTCCTGTGTTCTCGTCTTGTCTATTTTTTTGTTTATTTTTATCTCATCTCATCTCTTGCCAAGTCTTCTCTCCTCTCGTTTTTTCTCTAGTCGTCTCTTGTCTTGTCTCTTCTTGTCTTCTCTCTTCTCCTCTTTTGTTTTCTCTTCTGTTGTCTTGTCTCTTCTCTTGACTTGTCTCTTCTCCTCTCCTCTTGTCTTTTCTCTTGTTTCTTGTCTTGTCTCTTCTCGTCTCTTCTCTTGTCATGTCTATTCTGTACTTGTACTTTCTCATCGTCTCCTCTCTTCTCTCCTGTAGTCTGATGTTATTTTAGGAAGACTGAGAAAACATCTGATTTCATGTGTCTGTCGTCTATGGTCATATATTTTTGGAGAGAGATTTAGGAATTTAGGAGGAGGGTGATGTGCATGGCTAATTGTTCTTCCAAATACTTGGCTGACGTTCACAGTCTTTGCTTTGAGAAAATGCACATTTACCTCAAACTTTCCATCCATTTTGATGCTAATTGTTTTCAGAGGCACAAATACCTTCGCGCTGACCTCAGCTTAAGTGATAATACAGGAGCAGTTCTAGCATTTGACCTTGAGAGTCTGGTTTGCACTGTACTAGAAATTGAAGCTATATTTGTTGTTTTAATCATGTTTAAGTTGTGTAGTATTGGTTTATTTGATCCCAGTTTTGTCTGAAGAGGCAAGAATGTCAGTCTGATTTCTTTTGCGTAAACACAATGGGTTGCCTTTAGGGTCTCTGGACAAATTCCTCAAAGGATTGCCTCTGGTTAAAGAAATATTAGCCCTTTAGCCCTACTTTATGGCGTAATTGGATATTTCCACCATAAACAACAGCTTTTCAGAGTTTTAATGTTTTTGTTATGGTGGGTGTATGAAAGGCGTAGAAATTCTTCTGTTCCTTGTCAAATGTTGTCAGCAGCAATATAACTTAAATGTAAATAGGCTTTTTATACATCTTAAGCCCTAATATTTATACATACTGCACCTAGTCCTAATTTCTAATGCATCCCCAATGTATTATTCCGATTAGACTTATAGATGAGATGAGCTTGAGCATCCAATGATATAGAAATAGGAGATTACAAGCAGTGTTGACTAAAGTCTATGATAGTATTCGTTCATTTTCCGGCTTAGTCCCTGATTTTAAATGTCGCCACAGCGGAATAAACGACTAATAGCAGCACATCTTTTACACAGCGGATACCCTTCCAGCCACAATTACTGGGTAACACCCATAGACTCTCACTTACACTCATACACTCAAACACTACGGCCAATTAAGTAAATCCTATTTACCTATATTGAATGTCTTTGGGCTGTGGTGGAAACCGAAGAACCTGGAGGAAACCCATGCAAGCACGAGGAGAACATGCAAACTCCACACAGAAATGCCAACTTACCCACCTGGGGTTCAAACCAGCAACCTTCTTGCTGTGATGCGACAGTGCTACCCTCTGAGCCACCGTGCCGCCTCTATGATATAATATATTACTATTATATAGACTTATATTACTCCAGTACAGGGGTGGGAAAACTCGGTACTGGAGGGCTGGTGTCCTGCACAATTTAGCTTCAACACTAATCAAACACACCTGAACAAGCTAATCAGTGTCTTCAAGATCACTAGAAATCTATAAGCAGGTGTGTCTGATTAGAGTTGGAGCTAAACTGTCCAGGACATCTGCCCTCTAGGACCAAGTTGGCCCACCCCTGCTCTAGTATATTGAGTGTGAGTATTTGTATTTTACTTCCATGTCTCTTATCATAAGTAAAAAAGTACTTATTATTGAATGTTTGGTTTGCAAGAAAATGTTTGATTTTATTAGTGGAACACGTCCACATTCTGGCATTATTTAAGATTTTTTGAATCAGTGAGTAATTTGGAGACTTGCTTTGACTGGGCAGTTTGAATAACTGAGCTGTTACCTGAAGAAGACTTGTTTTGTCCGGATAAGATGAATCAGTGAGTTGCTGAATTTCTTGTTCAGTTTGATTTGTGAACCAGTTTAACAGGTTAACTGTTTTACAAATCAGAACCGCTAACTGTTTACCCTGCTAAATTTATTAAGTGTAGTGGAGTAAGCCAGGTCAAATGACTTAATTTAAGAGTAAAATGTCTGTATGTTTTTACATTGTGAGATTCATTAATTTCCCCACTGCCTTTTTCCAAATGCAGTGTACAACACATCAACTTTTATGGAGCACCTATAGGCTTATTTTGTTCATATCATGGTGTGCCATATATGCATTGTATTCTACTTCATGACTGTCCCTTATGCTTGTGAACCCATCAGCCTCGCTTTATCCTGGAAGGCTCGCTGGAGGTGTTAGATCAGGGTCAGAATGCACGATTCGGCTCTGCATTGGCTCCTGTGCCTGACCTGAACGGGGATTCATTTAATGATGTGGTGGTGGGAGCTCCGCTGGAGGACGACCACAAAGGAGCCATTTACATCTATCACAGCCAACGCAACAGAATACTGAGGAAATATAAACAGGTACCACATGAGTGCCCATTGTGCCCAATAGTAATTAATTTGAGTGATTAATAAGGCATGGTGGTGCTATTTTATTCATTTTTGTCTCTGTCAGAGGATTGGTGCAGTTCAGCTGGGCCCGGGTCTGCAGTACTTTGGTCGTAGCATTCATGGGAAGATGGACATGAATGGAGATGACCTGGTGGATCTGGCTGTGGGCTCTCTTGGTGCTGCAGTTCTCCTGTGGTATGTCTGCAAAAAAAAAGGACGACATAGCAGTCTCAAAATACACGGCATTACTCTAATTTCATCTGCGTTAGAATAACCCCTGAACATTCTTAAACTCAAACTTTTTATACTGTTTTAGATGTTGCCTTTAGACTTGCCTTTAGATGTTAGTGAAGTTGCTCCTTGGCTGTTGACCCAGCTGTTCTCTCTATCTGTCTATGTTAATGCAGTTTCCACACCATTGATAAGATGGTTCTCTGTGTCTCACACCCATCCCCATTCTACAATTGTTCCCATTTGGTCAAAATGTAGTCACCTCAAACAATGCAGAGACAACAAACTGATGACTTCTCTTTTCTCTCATTATAAGCATCAACACACCATTTAGAGTGGAAGTTGGGTCAAGGCAGACTTCATTTCTTAAACTGGGATCTTTAAATTGAATTTGATGTTTTCAACATTTGATGTTTTTGTTGTTGTAAGCACTAGTTAACCTACTGTATGATCTCAGTGATGTACAACATTTTTGATTTGTTATGTCAGTTGCTCAGATTATTTCGGTTATATACATAAAGGTTTGCTGATCAGGTTTGTTGTGTGATTTACATAAAATCCAGTGCAAGTCAATTTGATCCGCAAAATAAAAATCATACATAAATTTTTCTATAATAAATTAGTCAAAATTATTCTTTTTTACATACTATAAGACGGCCTCACACTGTCCATAGTAATATTTGAAAGCTGCATGACTCAGGCAGTCATTTACAGGTTATCTGGTATAATATATTAAGTAGAAAAATGGATTAGAAAAGTTAGCTTCTTATAAATACATTTTTTTTCTCCTGTGCTACAGGTCTCGAAGTGTGATCCGAATCAATTCAGTAGTCCGTTTTGAGCCCAGCAAGATTAACATATTCAATAAAGACTGTCGGAGAGGAGGAAAAGACGTGACATGCATGTCAGCTATTGTATGTCTGAATGTCACAGCACGGACTCCTATCAACCCCTCACAGGAAATAGGTCAGTTTTATGCTCTTTGTCTAATACAGATTTGAAATTCTGTAGACCCTTTTCACACGTCCGGGTTTCTCAGCAGCAGCAGAAGTCTTCATGGTTGGGTAAACTCAGAGCACAGTGAATGGGAGAGTACAACAAATCATTTTTTACAATCCCATTTGCTGAAATAAAAGAAAAACTTCTTGATACTGTTATCAAGACTTTCAGAAAAAAAAAATAGTGTGAGATTGATGAAGGCAGCCAGAGGAGAGAATAACGTCAAGCTTACTCTCAGCCTCGTAGACGCTGCATTAGAAACACCTCGCATAAGCAATAATTCATGTATATTTTTTTTGTAATTTGAGGCAGATGATACAATACATACATAAATGCATATGAATGTTTATATGCTTAAAAAAATCTAAATATTAAAAACTTTAAGTATCAATTTAAGATTATGATGATCGTTAAATGTCTTGTGAAAAGGTCCATTTTAAATAAATTAGCAATTCTGTACTTTATTGTCTTCCAAATATTTCCTCAGACAAATAAATTGTTACATTTGCTATATATATTGGTAGATTGTATCTCATCCATGAAACTGGTGGTCATTTAAATGCTTATGTAAATAATATGGTCTTTCGACACCAAATCCATCTGCTAAATTGTTGGATTGCAACTGTGTTTTTAGGCCAAAGGATGACATAACACTTAGCGTTCACCCAAACACACTCAAACAGGAAGTGCTTTATAAAGCATCAGCTTCCTCTCATCGTATAATATCTGTTTTTTTAAAAGACTAAAGCTAAACATCTGTCAGCTGGCCAGCTCCTCATAGCACTAAACAGCTGCATTCTCAGTGTAGTTCAGTTAGGGTTGCACCGCAAAGCATTCCACGTATTAGCAGCACAAAAAGATAACATCAGTAGTGATGAATTGTTCGACATACAGTAATCTCTTGATCTTTCCTCTGTTGGTTCAGGATTTATTTTGGGAGTAGAAAAGAAAAGCTGCTTAGCTAGATTTGGAAATTCTAAGTAGACACATCGTATGAAGACTCTGGCTTAAAACAACTAACAAATTTGTAAATGTCCTTTTAGAATGTGTAATATAACGCAAGGTATAGCCAAACATTTTAAATTAATAGCATTCAGATTGAAAAGATTATAGATGGTTGCAGATATTATAGATGTGAATGTTGATCTAAACAAAAAGTCATAGCTCTTTTTAAAACAACTCTAATTGTTGTTTTAAAAGGCATCAGTATATCAGGACAGATCCATTTAGTATTTGACTCATGCAGTTTGACTTTGGGCCTCAGTGACCATGATGGTCTTGTACTGAAAGACATGGAAGGTCAGGGTGCTGTTTAATGTGTGGGACCACAGTGTAGTGCAACTGTTTTTAGTTAACCTTTCATAACCCCAGAGCATCTTCTTCACAAATGTCAAGTGTGTAAAACTAATGTAATGGTCTCAGAGAGATTAAATGTCTTCATTATTATCTGAAGAATCAGACATTTGGTGAAATATAATGGAAGGCCATTTTCTCTCTAAGTCTTATTCTCCTCACATGTTTTCGAGAGGCTTGTGAATAAGTTAAGCCTTTAAGTGTGTCATTTATCTGCGCACATTTTTCACATTTATGAGATCTTAGAAAATGAGACATCTTTAGGTTTATAAGGTTTTTCTCGGGTCATGAACAAGATTCCTTTTAAACATCTTGCACATCTTCGTGTCGTTCAGGTCTCTTAAAAGTTTATTTTTTCTTCTTAACATTAGATGTTTTAGCCTTTTAAGGCCTCATAACTCCTAGGTTGCTCTCAGATCTCCTCAGGATCATCAGCTTCACCTCTAGAGTCTGATAATCTGACTGTATCCCACACATGCTACAGCACTATTCTGGCCATGAATAAATGACTATGAAGCTGATGCTGTGCATTTTTCCTTTACTAATGTAGTTGATGTCTCCAATGTAAAACAACATAGCAAACGTTAATATTAATATTTAAAATGTCTGTTATTTAAGCTAACTCCATTGAGTCTTGATTGTCCTTGTACTTTTTATGTATATAACAAAATTGGGGGCAAAATAATAGAAATTATTAAGCTCTCAATATAGTTTGACATGATTGACCCAAAGTTTCCACCAGTTATAATTATTATAATTATTTTCAGCACAAATTAATAAATCCCTAATAGGAAATTGTTCATTGTCAGGGTTAGGGTGGGTGTCGGAAGAGATTTATTGTCCTATTAAGGCAGCATCCATTAGATAAATATACTTATTTATATGCACAATAAAATTATTGTTTATATATATATATATATATATATATATCAACACTAAGGGGCAAATATCTGCCAAAGGTATAATTAGCATCTAAGTACTTTTATTTCAAAGAAAATACAAAATAAATGTACTATTTAAACTTAGTTTAACTTTTGGATTGGTCTGAATTAGTCTATGATCAGAATAAAAACTCCAGACAGTCTGACCACAATATTAGACAGAAAATGAAAGTAAGAATGTAAGAATGCCATCTAAGCCTCTTTCCTGCAGGTCTTCACCAAATTGTCATACAAAGCCAAACTTAATCTTCATGCTGAACTTGTGTGAGACTCTTGCTAACTTTGTTAAATGCTGTACAGTATTTACCATTCATACATTAATTAGGTGTAATTTACAAATGAAATACGAAATAAAATGAATAAAAATGTACTTTTAATGATTATAATAATTACAATATTAACCATGAAGAATTTGGACTTTAATGGTGTGTAAGAGCCCTCACCAATTTGATTGATGACTCCTAGTGTGACTCATGACCCCCAGCATCTGTCTTCTAAATATTACAGTGCATTTATTCATTCATTTATTTTATTTTCGGCTTAGTCCCTTTATTAATCTGGGGTCGCCACAGCAGAATGAACCGCCAACTTATCTAGAATATGTTTTATGCAGCGGATGCCCTTCCAGCTGCAACCTATCACTGGGAAACATCCAAACACACTCATTGACACACATACACTACGGTCAATTTAGCTTACCCAGTTCACCTACAGCGCATGTCTTTAGACTTGTGGGGGAAACTGGAGCACCCTTAGGAAACCCACGCAAACACGGAAAGAACATGCAGAGTCCACACAGAAACACCAACTGACCCAGCCAGGGCTCGAACCAGCAACCTTCTTGCTCTAAGGGCGATTGTGCTACCCACTGTGCCACCGTGCTGCCCCTACAATGCATTTGTGCATTTTTTTTTATCTAAATTTGACAAATCAGATGGGGCCGTACCCCTCCTTCCTAGTAGTTGATGTTCTGCTATTGGCTGGAGTGGCCCACAGATGAACCCAGAACTGAAATTAAACACTTATGGAGGGCGAGAGATTGACAACAGCCAATCAGAATATCCGATCACTTATTTATAGTGTTTTAAAGACTAAACGCATGCACTTTTACAGTTTTTTTCATTAATTTGATTTTAATTTATTTATATTTATTTAAATATCATTAAATATGTAAATAATTAAAAACACAGTCAATAAAAATAGCATTTTTTCTACAGAAGTGTTATTTTGTAAAAAATATTGTTTTCCCAATAATCAACAACAACATTGCATGTTTTTCCAGTATCGCGCAGCCCTTGTTAAATACTGCAAACATATTAAGTTCTAAAGCTATTTTCTTGCACTTCTCTTAGCTCTTAGATACAGTGCTTTCTTTGAGGAGAAGCGCTTTAACCCTCGGGCTGTATTTGATGATCCAGATCGCCAGCAGCCACAAAACCTCACACTGCTTCCTGGAGAGGAGACCTGTGATCACATCTACTTCCACGTCATGGTTAGTTCTCACTTTACTCAGGTCACCAAAGTAGAATGAAGATGAATTTGCACTGCATTTAAAATCCCTGATAATTCTAACATAATCATCAGTGATGGCCAACTATAATAACAATCCATTCAATTGTTCATTCAGATTTTCCACTGCAACTGCAGCATTCCGGTTTTAATAACTTCACTTTCTAGCATTACAACAGCAGATCATGTTCTTCCAGTTTACTCTTTTATAGCGATATATATTTAGAGTGAGAGATTTATGATATTGTAATGTTGATACAGGAGACTACAGACTACGCCAGGCCAATTATATTCACTGTAGAGACGGAGCTTTTGGACCTGTATCACGGCCCAGTTCTGGATGACAGCTGGCCAACGACTGTGAAAACACAGGTGAGTGTCTGCAGGGCAAAGGAAACTTTTGGTAACATCATTAACACACATCATCAACATTTTTATATATATCAAAAACACACGAGCAAGTATTGTGTCAACTTTACTTAATAAAATAGACTTAATAATGTAAAATAAATGGGGAGAGCGGGGACTAAAGTAACAAAGCAATTTTCTCGAAGCCCTGACAACATTTTATTTCCAGGCTATAACAGCACTTTCAGCATGCAACCCTTGATAGAGCTACCAAACATGTAATTTTGGGACCATGTTCCACAGTTAGCTCCAAATTCCTGTTTTTAAATGCAAAAAGTAAATTATTGTAGCGGTTCTTTTTTCCTCATTACAAGTTGTGTTTCGCTTTTTTTATGTGTCTCACTAATGATCAGTTTACAGGTTATTTAGCAATAACACATCCTTGAGTTTAAAATGTCTGAGATTTTCAGTTTTAAAAAAAATCAGCTTTAAATGGCAAGAGTGGGGACGAAAGTAACACTGTTATTTATGTTCCACTGCTAATAGACACATTCGTTTTTTGACTGTTTTTAATGCACATAATGCAAAAATCTACACAAATTGTAGACATCTGTAACACTTTGCATTGTTGGATTGCTTTTGGAACATTTGATGGAACTGAAATTTAAATGCGGCAGGTCACTTGGCAATTCTGTGTCATGTTTGCGTGAGTTTCCCCCACAAGTCCAAAGGCATGCGGTACAGGTGAATTAGGTAGGCTAAATTGTCCATAGTGGATTTATGTGAATGAGTGTGTATGGGTGTTTCCCTGTGATGGGTTGCTGCTGGAAGGGTATCCTCTGTGTAAAACATATACTGGATAAGTTGGCAGTTCATTCCGCTGTGGCGACCCCAGATTAATAAAGTGACTAAGCCGAAAAGAAAATGAATGAATGAATGAAATTTAAAATGAAAATGCCATTTAATTTTTTCTTTTGCAAAAAAAAAGGAAAAAATATGTTTGCAGTGAATGTAAACAAGGTCATTCATTCATTCATTCACTTTCTTTTCGTCTTAGCTACTCTATGTCCTGCCCTCTCTTTGTTTTTTGTTTGACATTATGTCAAACTTCGAATAAAAGTGCACATTTCAAGAGCCCACTTCACGGGATCTTTAAAAAGAGTCATTTAATATGTCATCAAATTATTGTTCAAAATAAAACCGACAAGATAATAGTAATAAAATATGAATGACTAATTAGTGTGTGTCTTGTATGATTATTGTTAATATTTGCTTAGAAAACAGGAGAGAAATGGTATTAATATCCAAAAATTCCCTTTTCCTAATGTCATTCAATTTTCTGTTTTTCACCAGCTTCCCTTTTGGAACGGTTGTGATGAAGATGACCATTGTGTTCCAGACTTGTTGTTACAAGCTCACACCGATCTAATGAATCGCCAGTAAGATAAAAAAAACACACACATACACACACACATGTACAGTATGCTAGCAAAGGGGTTCCCAAACTTTTCAGCCTGCAATCCCCAAAATTACAATGCTAGTGACTCACAACCCCCCAATACCCTCTGAAGTGGTTATAAATATAAATAAACCTTTCACACAACGGCATAAATACCAATAGACACAAGTCTATTCATCATTTAATTTTGGAAGAATTTGGAGACCATACTCCATCTTCAGTTGTGGCCTGTATTTGTTTTTATTGTACGCAAGTGCCATAAACGTGTCAGAAAGTTTAACCTGGTGCCATAAAATCAATCTGCTGTGTCTTTAATATACTTGAATATAATGTAATCACCCCAGATTTTTATAATGCAAAAAAATCGAAAAGGCTGATGGCTTTTTATTTGCATGTCATTGTTTTTCTGTGCAACTATTACCTACTATTTTTTTTTATTCAGTAGATTATGGATAATATATGGTAATTCTAATCGTTTAATGAAATTAATTTGATTTTTGGAAATCACCAAGCGACCTTTCTCTACAGGCAGTTTTGTGGGCAGGCGTTTCGAGCAGCCAGTCTCTTATGTCAGGGTCACACATCAACAGACCCTTCTGAACGCATTATAGAGGGTTCCAGGAGGAAGATGGTAGTGGATGTACGTCTAGAAAACAGAGGAGAGAATGCATACGGAGCCAAGCTTAACATCACTTACACTCAAAACCTACGCTTCTCCAGCCTTATAGTGAAGGTACAACATCATTCTAATTGCTTTGCTTGTTTGGACCTTTAAAACGATTAACTCATTTATTCATTGTTCATATTTTATAAATTCATATGCATTAGTAATTGTTACTGTAAGCTGAATGGGGTCATCTCTATTTGTAGGATAACTCTGATATACATATAGACTGCCGTAATGAGAACAAGCGGAAATATGAGAAAACCTGCAACATCAGTGAACCCTTTATGAGAGCAAAGTCCCAGGTGAGTGAGCATATTCATTATTTATACATAAGACATTTACACTGAATCCTCAGAAATATTTTGAATAATTTGAAGTAATTACACTGACAATTGATTAAAGCACTTTTCTGCATAGATAAATATACTACAAATGTTTGGGTGTAAAAATGTTTTTTAAATATGTCTTTTATGCTCAACAAGTTTTATTTTTGACCCTTGTCTTTTACCAAGTTAAACATTTATTTTATTAAAAATATTATAACAGTAATATTGTAAAATTTTTCAATACATTTTAAGATTGCTTAAACTGCGCATTTAAAAAATGTTATTTAATCATGTGATGACAAAGCTCAATATTCATTTACTCCAGTCTTCAGTGTCATTTTATCATTTAAAAATCATCTTTATATGCTGATTTGCTGATTAAATAATTGTTATTGTTATTATAAGTGCTAAAAACATGATCACACCATAGTTTTAGGACCAGTTCTCACTAACTACCTGCTAACTGTGATGATAGTCTTTAAAATCTTCTAATTTGCTGTATATTATTCATTATTCAATAATTCAGAATAAGTCACTAATGTAATGATTGTATGTACTTATAATTAGACAAAATGCTAGTCCTTAATTAATTTACATTTAGTCATTTAGCAGATTTGTCCAATTTACTATATTTACTATATTTCGTTAAGTTACTATATAATTTAATAAATTATTAATAATGAAAAGCAAGAGTAAAATCTTTACATTTTTAAAAATGTTTACTGAAAGGCCCATTATCGCACATATTGCCGAATTATGTTCTAATGGGAGGATTTTTATAAGCATGTTTAGCATCTTTGGGCATTTAAGGACCCAATATACTCACAGTGAAATTCTGTTCTTTGGCATTTAGAAAAGATGAGCATGTTAATATGTGTGGTGCTTTCTTTTCTTATTAACAAAATAAATATAAGGTAAAATGTAGAGCAGTTAAGCAAGCATCTCATAATAGCCATGTGGATGTTTGCACAAGTTCTGAAGTTCAGCACTCCAGCCAAGGCACATTGTGGTTGTTTGTTGAGCACTTTATGCAGTAGATTTGCAGCTTTAGCATTAAACACGAAGGGGAAAAAACGCCTTGGCAGAGAAAATGGGCTCAAAAGATTTTTCAATTCAATTCACCTTTATTTGTATAGCACTTTTACAATGGAAATTGTGTCAAAGCAGCTTCACATAGATGATCATATTATCATTTCATGTCAAAAAAGGCAGATAGTCAGAACCACACTCACCTACCATGTCACTACAAACCAGTAGTACCTCAAAGGTGTTCACCAGTTGAACCAAACTTTTCTGGAGCCTGTTTTAAATCCTTCAAATCTAAATCATATTACATTAGTTTGTTTTTCAGTTATGCTTGAAGTATATTGGGCATTTAAAGGGTCAGTTCTCCATCCATGCTGTCAAAACTCCTATAGACTTCCTCGCATTACCTCAGAAACTGTCATAGAAATACCAGTTCTTTACATCTGGAATGTTGCATGAGACATAAACATACGTAACAAGTCTCCAGCACCCTGAAGTCACAGAATGATTCACTTAGCATCTTTTTCTTGGTTTGACCCCTGAGCTTGTGTTCAGGGCTCTTCAGAAAAAGAAAAACACGAAGCAGGAATGTAACGCAAGAATACCGCTTACCGTTTACTACATCCATACAGAGCGAAAGCCATCAATCACGCGGCCTGGACCACAGAAGTCTGTCCTGTGCAATGGCACTGCTTTGTTAGGAATCGGGTCAGCAGCTTCTCACAGAGTCCTGATTCATTTTCTTGAGGTTTGGGGGTCACTGGTGCTACACTTGTGGCTACAGGGAGAGATTTTATGGGCCCACGTGGGAGCCTGGTTCAGCTCCGAACAGTTTGAGACAGGGTGAAAGGGAATATTAGAAGAACACTCAGGAGGAGAGAACATAAAAATGATTTTCCATGCTGCGTTTTGCCACTGCTCACCGAGGGAGAATGAACAGTTTGCCCACGTAGCTATAACTGTGTCCAAGTGCTTCAGTTTCTTTAAGCAAGAATAAAATCAAAAGCCAACTCCTGTGCTTTAAAGGAACACTCCAACTGAAATATTAATAAATAAGCTCATTTTACAAGTCCACTAGAGTTAAACAGTTGAGTTTTTACAGTTTTGAATCCCCAGGTCTGGTTGGAGCACATTTAGCTTAGCTTAGCATATCATTGAATCAGATTGGACCATTAGATTCTTGCTTAAAAATGACCAAAGTGGTTCAATAAATTTCCTTTGTAATATAACACTCAAGGAACTTTGCTGTCGTGCTATGACTGCAGCTGGTGAAAATGATAATATGCAGATAATGGTGCAATAATCATGCAAGTGGTGGCACAAGGTGCTGAGGACTATTTACAGGTGCTGCGTAATATCATTGTGCTTACTGCAACCATGGTATGGCAGCAGATTTTCTTGATAATTACACCAGAATGAGAATATAATTTAAAGCCATATCAGCCTAGAAAATAGTACAGTAAGTACTTTTCCAGTACATTCTGTTCAGGAACCAAGACTGAATGTTCATTACCACTTCGCTAAAACACCAGAGCAGGTGGTTTTTAAAAATGTGCTTATTATTTACTCACCATAATGTTTCTCAAAACCTGCCTGAGTTTATTTACTTATCAAGATATTTTGAAGAATGTTGTTTGAAATTAGTAGCCTTTGACTTCCATAGTATACATTTGTATAGAGGAAGGGAAACATCAAGTTTTTGGTTTCCAGTAATTAAAAAATATCATCAAGTGATGACAGAAATTTTATTTTTGAGTGGACTATCTCTTTAAAGGATAGTGACACTGGGGTCCTTGGTGATTTATAGCATGCAAATCAAACACAAAAACATTAATTAATTAAATTTTTTTTTTTTTCGGCTTAGCTCCTTTATTTAGGGGTCGTCACAGTGAATTGACAAGCCAGCATATGTTTTACTCAGCGAATTCCTTTACAGCTGCAACCCAGTACTGGGAAACACCCATACACTCTCACACTCACAAACATACGCTACAGACAATTTCATTCATTCGTTTTCTTTTTGGCTTAGTCCCTTTATTAATCAGGGGTCGCCATAGTGGACTGAACCGCCAAATTATCTAGTATATGTTTTACACAGCGGATGCCCTTCCAGATGCAACCCAGCACTAGGAAATATCCTTACACTCTTGCATTCATACCCAAACATACACTACGACTAATTTAGCTTATTGTGCATGTCTTTCGACTGTGGTGGAAACCCAGAGGAAACCCACGTGAACACAGTGAGAACATGCAAACTTTGCACAGAAATTTCAACTAGCCCAGTCAGGGCTTGAACCAGAGACCTTCTTGCTGTGAGGCAACAGTGCTAACCACTGAGCCACTGTGTTGCCCTAACACAAAAACATTTACAGGCAAAGCAAAACCAATACCCATGGCTCCTGATGATACATCAATGACTTCTAAAGTGTAATAAACAGTCTGTGCAACTAAAACTGAACATTATTTCTGTCATCAGTTCTCTCTAGTCTTGCTGTGAAATCTTTAGTCAGTTTGACTTTGAGGCCTCTAGCTTAAGGCTGGTTATTGCTGGATTTACTCCTAAATCCTCTGCCAAAGCTTTGGCTTTGGAGGTCTGAAAATATAATAACACACATAGACCATCATTTATGTTGCTGTTAAAATGAAAATGACTCTGTCTCTAATTCTGCAGGTTATATTTCGTTTGGAATTTGAATTCAGCCACTCGGTGCTGTTGGATCACGTACGAATCATACTGGAGGTTACTAGGTAGGACACACAAAGTCAATTGTGCTCAGTCTAAGAAAGTATCATTGCATTATTTTTAAGATGTGTCAAATGTAACATTAGAATGCAATTTAGCATATGAAACGCAAAATCGCAGTTAAGATTTTTACTTTGAAATGTGTGCTTTAAAGCTTTTGATTCTGTACTATTCCCTGCATTCAGTTTTCCTTTAAAACGTTTAGTTGCTCAAAAACCATGTAACTTTCATCCAGTGCATCACAAAATAAAATGAACGCATGCATGACTACTAAATGGCTGCACTCAGAGGGAAATCTACTCAATGTGGCCTAGAAAATTGCATGATGGTCTGAAAAGTTGGATCCTGAACACTGACGATGCCTGAGCTGGAATGTTCTTCTACTAGGCCAAGTGTCACAGGGAATTACAGGGTGAGTGTAAAAGCCTGTGAGGTTTCTCATATTGTTGTCATGTGTCTGCAGTGAAGGAGAAGAAGTCATCCTCTATGATAACTCCAATGAAATTTTCTACAATCTGAAGTATGAGGCTGATTTGCTCTTTACAAGGTGAGCTACAGTATACATGTAATTGCTGACGATAGATGGTGGTTGTGTGAATTACGGTAATTACAACATATTTTAATTCCCCCAGGGATTTTTACCCGACCCGATATGAGCTTAAACCTGACCTCTCTCTAGAGAAAGCAGATGATTTCAACCCCCCATTCAACTTTACCTTTCAGGTGAGGTACTATTCCCTGCTATCATGAGCTAAAGTGAGAATAAGCTAATATAAATGTTTCCTCTATTCAACACAGATCCAGAACCTTGGTTATTTTCCAATTCAAGATTTGCAACTCTACATTGCAATCCCTGAGGTCACAAAAAATGGGAATCAACTCCTGCAGATCAGAGATTTCCATATTGACCAGGTGAGCAGGATCCTTTCCCTCAAAATGTTTATTCTTTAGCCCAAAGATTTAGTCCAGATTCTAAATCTGAAAGAGTCAGCAGATTTGAGTGAACAGATTTCACAGAAAATTTCTGTATGCTGGAAATATCTCTGCAGACTATAATGCAATACAGCATGAGGACATCAAATTTGTTTTATTCATTCATTCATTCATTCATTTTTATTTGGCTTGGTCCCTTTATTAATCAGGGGTACCCACAGCGGAATGAACCGCCAACTTATCCAGCATATGTTTTACGCAGCGGTTGCCCTTACAGCTGCAACCTATCACTGGGAAACATCCTTATATACTCATTCACACACATACACTACAGACAATTTTAACTTACCCAATTCCCCTATAGCACATGTCTTTAGATTTGTGGGGGAAACCGAAGCACCCGGAGGAAACCCACGCAAACACGAGGAGAACATGCAAACTCTACACAAAAATGCCAACTGGCCCAGCCAAGGCTTGAACCAGTGACCTTCTTGTGATTTTTAATTGTTTAGTCATTTTATTATTATTTTTTATAAATCAGTGATCTACAAGAATAGTTTAAATGTTCTTTAACAAAATAAAATGATGTCTATTTATTTAATATATTTAATACCATTATCTAAATAAGTCAAGTTTCCTTAAGAAGTCTAAGTGGGTTCTTTTATGTCATCACTGCAAAAAAAAAAAAGAAAAAAAAAACGTTATTGACATAAATACACAAAAACACAAGGAACATACTGTAACATGAAACGGATGCTCAACATCGGTTACTATGGCAACAAATGATGATACAGGACATGTGTACAAAGGGACCAAAGAATGAATTGAAAACCAAAAGAAGATATATAACAGAAATGCATTTGGCAAGACTAGACAGGGTATCAGTCAGGTATATATTTTACCAGTTCATGGATTTCCTGGAATAAAAATCCATAGCTTTGCGGTTGCCAATGCCATGCTCTATTATTTGAGCTACACAAATAATATTAATAGTGTTTTGAGCAGAGATGCCCAAACTAGGGCCCGCAGGCCAAAGCTGGCCCAAATACCTTCAATTTGGCCCATGGTCATGCCATCTGGGAAGAGAGGGAGAATTTTGGAGTCTAATGCCTTTAATACACATTATAATTTCTGAATTAACGTAACCTTTCATTGGTTTGTTTTATTGTTAAGCTACTAAAAACAAATGTTTCAAATAAATGGTTTAAATGAGTTTAAAAAAGTTTAATTGCTCAATAAACAGAGTACAGTTCAGAAGTCCTTTGTGTATGAATGAAGGCAAAGGCAGGTGCAGCTTGGCATTGAAAACTCTTTTGTTTTATAAACGTAATTCTTTGTCTTTATTATAACAGGTTCATTATAAAATGTAAAAACATATAATGAATTAGTTTATATGATTAAAGTACTGTTTTCTCTTTATTTTAAAGTGAATCAGGAAATTATCGTTTATAATACAGTTGGATATTTACCTCAATCAGGGTTTGGTTTTTGACCCTTCATAACTAAGAGTTTAGGCACCCCTGGTTTAGAGTTTTAATAGATTTGTGTGTTTTCATTATTAATAGCTTCTATGTGCCTTTGTCCATCAGATTGGTGGAAGCCAGTGTATCCCCCCTCAGCATGTGGCTCATAGTCGGGCCTCTCCAGAAGACCTCTCACGAACATCACGCCTGGTAAAGACTCTCTCTGATAACTGTATAGTGCCTCATAAAATGTGCATCACATTTCAGACTAGCACTTTATGAAGTTATGTACTGTTAAAGGTATAGTTTACCAAACATGATTAATTACCTCATCATTTACCCTCCTGTTTTTTATTTTATTTTATGATTTTTTTTTTTTATTTCTTCTCAACACAAAAAAGGATATTTAAAGAATGCTGGTCGCTGGCAACCATTGAATTCCATATAGTAAAGAAGTAGTATTGAAGTCAATGGGTGCCAGTGACCAGCATTTTTCCAAATATCTTTGTTTTTTTTGTGTGTTCAACACAAGACATAAACTCAAATAGGGTTTGAACAAGTGAAGGGGGAGTAAATGAAGGCAGAATTTTCATTTTTACATTTACATTTAGTCATTTAGCAGACACTTTTATCCAAAGCAACTTACAAATGAGGACAAGGAAGCAATTTACACAACTATAAGAGCAACAATGAATAAGTGCTATAGGCAAGTTTCAGGTCTGTAAAGTCTAAGAAGGAAAGTATTAGTAGTATTAGTATTTTTTATTTTATTTATTTATTTTTTTTGGGTACAGTTAGTGTGATATCCAGAGAGGCAATTGCAGATTATGAAGTGAAGTAGAGACTAAATAGTTGAGTTTTTAGTCGTTTCTTGAAAATAGCGAGTGACTCTGCTGTTCTGATGCAGTTAGGGAGTTCATTCCACCAACTGGGCAGATTGAGCGTTCGCGAAAGTGATTTCTTCCCTCTTTTAGCCAAACTATCCCTTTAAGGGGCTTTACAGTTTGCCTGATTAGGGGCTTTTAGACTTGTTGATTTAATTCACAACCATAAAGCACCTCTCTGCAAAATAGCTGGTTTATACTGCCTGAATAAAGCCACTTTAGTGTAATAATTTGTGCCATAAATAAAGCTGAATATTTGGGGTTAGTAGTTCCTCTACGTTCTAGATATGTTATTGTGTTTTTGAAGATAGTCATATGTCTGAGGTGAGGAATTTTGTAATCTATGTCAGATTCCCACCACAAGCAGCTGGGTTTCATTAGTAAGGTAATTTGTTTTAGAGCTAAATGTTGCTTGTTTCTATGCACAGAACTACTCAAACACCCTGGCAGTGCCAGTGCAATGCACCGTCAATCTGCCTTCCTACAGAGACGTCAGCGTGAAGATCGGCGGATCCCTCCGTACTGATGCACTGCATGCGGTGAGCAGCTATGACACTGAAATAACAGTCTGATGTAGATGAAGTAGTGCAGTGTGGGAAGAGTTTGACATCAGAGCACAGTGTTCACACACAGCATGAAGGCTTTGCTCAAGAGGAGGATCTTCATAAACCAACGCTAAACTCTGACTAGAGCAGTAATTAGAGAGAAGATGTTAAATGGTTCATGCAGGGATACGGTTACTAAATCTGGTTCAGCTAAAAGTTATGTTTTCATTCCCCTTTGTCTTTCAAAAACAAAAAAAGCAGATGCTTTCAATTTACAGTGACACAGAAAATATATTTAGAAAAATATTTGAATATTAAATTGTTCCACACCAAAATACCTAAAATCAGTTTGACTCAGAACATCAGTTTGTTAAAAGATCAGTTTGTTCAGAAAACTTACATTTGCACTGAGATTATTATTATTATTAGACTGCAGATTTTACTTGAATATATAGTATTTTGTATCTAATGCAAAAGAAAATAAGGAAATACTTGTATTGTATGTATGCTCACGTTCAAAGTGAATTTAACTTTTATGATAAACTGATACCACAAATAATCTGAGCCATTTTTAGGCAAGGCAAGTTTATTTATGTAGCACATTTCATACACAATAGAAACTCCAAGTGCTTTACATAAACACAAATAAAAGACACAAGAAATTTAAAATTATTAAAACAGATCAAAACAGATAAAACATGTGTAAAAACAGGTTGTAAAAGAATGTAAAAGAAAAGAAAGACATAATAGTGCTATCTGCCGGACATAGGACAATGCTCATTCAGTAAAGACACAGCTAAACAGATGAGCTTTCAGTTTTGATTTGAATGTGCCTAATGTTGAAGCACATCCGATCATATCTGGAAGCTGATTCCAGCAGCAGGGGGTGTAGTAGCTGAAGGCAGATTCACCCTGCTTTAGCTGAAATTGAATATCTAATTTATTTGATCTTAATGATCCGAATGATCTGTTAGGTTTGTATTCAGTGAGCATAGTTGTAATGTATTGAGGTCCTAGGCCATTTAGTGATTTATAGACAAGTAGTAATTTGAACCAGTAACTTGGAACCAGTGTAAAGACCTGAGGACAGGTGTGATGTGCTCTGATTTTCTAGTTCTGGTCAGAATCCTGGCAGCATTGTTCTGGATGAGCTGCAACTGTTTTTTTGGAAAGGCCTGTGAGGAGTGAGGAGGCCATTACAGTAATCCACCCTGCTGCTGATAAAAGCATGAACAAGTTTTATTAAGTCTTCACTAGGAACAAAGCATCTAATTCCTGCAATGTTTTTGAGATGATAGTAAGCTGATTTACTGACTGCTTTGACATGACTTCTTAAACTCAGATCTGACTCCAGAATAACACCAAGATTCACCTTAACTTTTGTTGTTTGACCCCTAGAGCCAAGGTATACATGCACCTTGAGAACCTCATCTCTGTTCCCTATGCAATGACTTCAGTTTGCTTGACTCTTTGTTTAACTGAAGAAAGTTTTGGCACATCTAACTGTTAATTTCATCAATGCAGTGGCAGAGGGTATCAATGGGGCTGTAGGCATTAGGCAGTAATGCTAAGGCTATATTCCATGGTCTCCTCCTGGAACTAAAATAAAATAAGTAGCTGTAATGGGGAAACCATTTTAAAAAAGCATCTCTGAGACAGATGACACACACATTTGAATTTTGTTTGCTTGTTAGTTTAGTCACATAATATCATCTGTTTTGCTGTTACACATCATGTAATTAATTTGATAATTGGGTTTCCATTAGTTTTTTTTCTAATCAAATAACAAACTCGGGTGAGCATAACGGAGTGTACTTTTAAAATGATTTGAATCTTGGTGTGAGGAAATTAACAGCACATTTTCATTTTCAAGTGAACTGTCAAAGTACACATACTTTTTACCACCCCTCTAGCCTCTCACCTTAAGTGTTTGTCCTTGTCCACCTTTTTTACATTCACCAAAGTAATGGCCTGTCAGAGAAACTGAAAACTGTTTTTCTTGTCACGGGCAGCTGAAGTTCAAAACCCTTGAGCTGGTGACGACAGCCTCAGTGGAGCTGAACCCTTCCAGCCCTATGTTTCTGCCTGAAGAGAGGCCGGTCAGACATGTGAGTCACCTTCTACACACATCAGCATTCACAGAAACATTGCTAGACAACATGTTAAGATTAAGCAAATAGAAATCTACCACTGAACTGAGAAGACGATGTGAGACGCTGCTTTTGTCTTTTTCATCCTTGGCAAAACAAAAGCGTTTCATTCATCTGTGTGAAAGAGTTAAGAACAATTATAAACAAGCATGAGATTAAAATGCTTTTATGCTAACTGAATTCAAATTCACTGGTTCAGACATGCTGGAACCTTCCCTTTATACATCAGTTTGTGCATTGGTGAGCTGCAGCTGTGAGCTGTTTCCCCACAGTAAAAGAACATGGAGCCAAGGGGACCGAAAGGACCAGCAGCACTCTTTAATTCTGTACTATTCTTTATTGCTGTGTGATGCTGCCATCTATTGGCAGGACAGAATAAAAAAAGAAAAAAAACATTAATGTCAGCAAATCTGATCTCAGCTGCAACAAATCAAACATTTGATAAGACATTTCCTGACATTTGCTTTCCTGTAAGAACTGGCTTGTTTAAATTAAAATATACAGAGGAAAACATACTGTCAGACCTAGCAATTGGTGCGCAAGCAGCTATTTGATAATCACTGCAATGAAGTGCAAAGGTACGTCTTTGAAAAAGCTTTACAGTTTGTTATATTGTCTTTTGCTTGTGTGTTTTCTCAGATAATCCTAGAGATTAGGAAAGAGGAGGATTACCGTGTTCCCATCTGGATTATCATAGGCAGCACACTTGGAGGCCTGTTACTCCTCTCTCTTCTCATTCTGGCACTCTGGAAGGTAATGAAAGGTAAACGATAGATAGATAGATAGATAGATAGATAGATAGATAGATAGATAGATAGATACACTGTTAGACATTTCAAAGGGTTTTTACAGTAACTTACTGGCAACACTGTTGCCAGTAAGTTACTGTATTTTAGATTTACATTATACAACTGTAAATCCGTTTACAGCATGTTACCGTAGTGTCTGAAAATGGTTAACTACTGTAAAAACCTAAGTTAACAGTTAGCTACTGTAAACCTTTTAATTTTGTCCTAAATATTTTATAATATAATTTTATTAATATTATTTTAATACTATAGACCTAAAAAAGACACAATTACAAAATATTAACAAAATAAACTCTTTATTTAAAACATTGGAGATGCTTAAAACAAGCTTAAAAATGTGTAAAAACATTACATTTCAATCATTCAAAATATTTTATTTTAAGAAAAAAAACATTGAAAATGACAAAGCACATTAACATACATGTACAAAACTAATTTAAGTGTCTGACCTGCATATTGTTGAGAAAAAAAAACCAATTGTAGTAAGTACTACTGACATTAAACCAGACACAATTACAAAATATTCCATTCTTTAAAACATTAATAATGCTTAAAGCATTTAAGGAAAATGTGTGAAAATTACATTAAGCAATAAAATCAACACATTATAAATAAATAAATCACACAAAGCACTAGAACATACATGTACAATAAAAATTTAAACTTCTGAATTGCATATTGTTGGAAAAATAAATATTTGTAACTATTAGCCGACTCAGAAACAACCCAACTTTAAAATATTACTAGTTCTGGTGTCAAATGCTCAACAAGGTCTGAATTCACATGTTCAAATGCAATTCATCTTTATTTCTATTGCACTTTTACAATGTAGATCAATGATGTCAAAGCAGCTTAACATAGAAGTTCTTATAAATTGAAGCTGCTTCAGTCCAGTTTTCAGAATTGAAGCAGTAAATGTCACTGCTGAAAGTCCAAACACTGAAGAGCAAATCCACCGATCCACCAAGCGTAGCCAAGTGATCCAGTGGCGACAGTGGCATGGAACAAACTTCACCAACTGACGAAAGTGTAGAATAAAATCCCTTGAGAGATACCAGGCTCAGTTGGGCACGACCAGTTCTCCTCTAGCCAAACTTGTGCAAGGCCGCAGTCTAGGCACCGGAGGCTTGAAAGGTCACCAGCGGGTGGTCAGGCTGGCCCATTGGATCAATGCGGAAACTCATTGATCACGTGTGTCTTTTAGGATTCACTCCTCCATGACCACCACAGCATCTGGTCAGGATTTGGCCCAGTCCAGGATTATGAAGAACTCTGGATAAGGACAAACAGACTAACATAAGCATAGAAGAAGCTTGTTTAAAAAAAATAAATCATATACTGGTTAGTTATTTTGAAGCATGGCATCTAGGTTGGGCTAGTTTTCAGCTGGTACTGAGCAACTGGCTCCTGCTCATAACCTGCTCACTACCATGTTTAAAAGATAACTAACCAGAATGTCCTGTTTATTTTTTTCCCTAACAAGGTTTTACAAAAACATTGTAGCATTTGTGATGGGTTGATTCACTGCAGGACAGATTAGACTATTTGTTTTATGTATTCCTAATAAACTAAAACAGACTGAATACTGATACAACTATTGAGAGTGTCTCACCTAATCCAAGTTCTCAGTTAGCTGGTGAAAGAAGGATAACTCACTGTTGTTCATGGTTGTCATTCTCTTCACTACTTCTCCTGCCTTCTTCTGGCTCAATCTGGTTGTTGCTGTGCATTTTGTTTCATCCTCTGGAATTATTTATACAAAAAATTGTATTATTTTATTTATTACAAAATATTTAGGCAACATGAAATGGGGAAAAAGACATTTAATACATAGACAAATGCATGTATCCCAATACTAATTATTGTATTTTGAAATGTCTGACCCATGACAGACCTCAATCTGCTCAAAAATATTATAAACAAAGATGAAAAAAAACCCTACTAAATGGTTTAATAAAAAAGGGAAAACGATTTTTTTATTTAGCTAGCAACTAAACATGTGACACATTTTGTATTAAAAGTAACGTTACTATATTGAGAAACAAATAGATGTACAGTACTTACTGTTGTATGAGGTCCAGTTTGCACAGGCAGGCTCCCAGTATTCTATATTGAGACCATAAAAAAGCCAAAAATACAGATAAGAATACCATGCTACAATCCACAACCTCCACACAACTTTTTTTTTTATTTGTTTACCTTGGTTGCTTACTGGTCTTGCTTATTTTTTTAAGCATAAGGCTGTGCTGATCAAGATGTTCCTCCGAAATGCTGTTTGTTTCTTCAGACAAAACCTGCTGCTGTGCCAGTGCCATATCTAAACAGAAAAAAATCTAATGGTAACAATTATGTTAAACCAAATGTCAAGAGTTGTGATAAAAAAATAATTAGCAAACAATAAATAGCAAAAAGGTGGTTATTAGCATAATGCATAGAGGTAAAATTGGTTTTATATTAGCAGATTCAGACTTCCCCCTTAATAATTTAATTTCATAAAAGTATTATTTGCAAACTCTAAATAGCGAAATCATTTTAGCAGCTAATGACTATCAAAGTACAACATGCTCACGGTCAAATAAACAGTGTTAATGTTGATTTCAAGTCATACTGGCATGCTAATTCTGATCGAATATTCAAAGTAACATGGTAAACAGTATAGAGTCTTCTAAATGAACGAATGTGCGAATATAAAACCAACTTTACCTCTATGCATATTGTATAGATTTACGTTCTTATAGGTTACGTCGCGATGTTATTTTCTCAAGCTAACGTTATAAGTTACTCTAAACCAGAGAAAAATAAGTTCACAACATCTAATATATATAGTATAAATCAATATAAGTTAAACGTTGCACGTTAAAATGAGTTTGAGTCCAATTCAGTATAAACTTAGCTCAGTTTAGCTAACAGTTAACATTACCATTTTAAGATCGCTTCAGCCAATGTTGCCGAGCAAACAAATGCTAATAGAGGTGCTCAAATCAATGTCGAGTGTTGTCAGCACAGACAGACGCGCTTTTACCTGGATTATTTGTTGGTCTTTCATTCATATTCTTCTGGGGGAAAACACTCTCTGCCGGACCGTTGTCTCGTGCTAAGTGTCCTCCAAAACTGTCTGCATACCTCTGGTTCCCTCCTAAACCAAAACCCGCTGCAACACCGGTTCCTATGTAAATAAATAAAAAGATATGACGAGAACAATGGCTAATAGTCATAAACAGTCTTATTTAAAGTAATAGTAGTGTTAATGTAATAAATTAAATAAAGGTAACATCTTAATAGATGATATATTTCTCAAATGGGCGAAATAACGCCAAGCCAGAGAAAATAATAATAGCCAACTTTATACTTTACTTTGTTCTATTCTCGTCCACAAAACATTCTGTAAAATGAAACACTGCCTCAGCTTACCAGAGTAAAGTTTGTTAAATCCAGTATGTTGTTCAGGCACACTAATAAATTGTCCTCCAGAATTGCTCCAGGGTCCTCAGGCAAAATGTGGTGCAGAGTAGTCGAATCGCCGCAAGGTGGCGTCGAAGCAGTTGTGGAAAATACTGTATAATACACGAATTTTTACAAATACAGTACATCGCTGTATATGTTGTTCGACGTCACACTAAATTCCCATAATGCAACGGTAAATACAGTTATTTACCGTAAAAGGAATTTGCAGTATTACACTGGGTGAAATACAGTAAATAACTGTGTAATTTACAGAAATGTCTAACAGTGTAGATAGATAGATAGATAGATAGATAGATAGATAGATAGATAGATAGATAGATAGATAGATAGATAGATAGATAGATAGATAGATAGATAGATAGATGGTTAGGTTTATGATAGACACAAACAGACAAGTACAGTAAATGAATGGATGGATGGATGGATGGATGGATGGATGGATGGATGGATGGATGGATGGATGGATGACAGACAAGTAGATGGATGGATGGATGGATGGATGGGTGGATGGATGGATGGATGGATGGGTGGATGGATGGATGGATGGATGGATGGATGGATGGGTGGATGGATGGATGGGTGGATGGATGGATGGGTGGGTGGGTGGATGGATACAGGAATGGATACTTAGGTTTATGATAGACACACAGACAGATGGATGGATGAAGAGGGATGGAGGGATGTATAGATGGATACAGGAATGGATGATTAGGTTTATGATAGACACACAGACAAATGGATGGATAGGTGGATGGGTGGGTGGATGGGTGGATAGATGGATACAGGAATGGATGGTTAGGTTTATGATAGACACAGAGACGGACGGACGGACGGATGGATGGATGGATTGATTGATGGGTGGGTGGGTGGATGGAAACAGGAATGGATGGTTAGGTTTATGATAGACACACAGACAAATGGATGGATGGATAAGAGGGTGGGTGGGTGGGTGGATAGATACAGGATTTGATGTTTAGGTATATTATAGACACATAGATGGATGGATGGATGGATGGATGGATGGATGGATGGATACAGGAATGGATGCTTAGGTTTATGATAGACACACATGGATAGATAGATAGATAGATAGATAGATAGATAGATAGATAGATAGATAGATAGATAGATAGATAGATAGATAGATAGATAGATAGATAGATAGATAGGTAGGTAGGTAGGTAGGTAGGTAGGTAGGTAGGTAGGTAGGTAGGTAGGTAGGTAGGTAGGTAGGTAGATAGATAGATAGATAGATAGATAGATAGATAGATAGATAGATAGATAGATAGATAGATAGATAGATAGATAGATCTTCAGTAGTTTTCTTAATAATGTTCTATTGTTGCTGTACTTTCTCTCCTTCTCTCTGATAGTTGGGGTTTTTCCAAAGACAGAAAAGGCGCGAAGAGGCCGAGAATGAGGTCAATGGCAAGACGATGGAGGAGAGATAACGCAGGCTGCTCAAGAGGGTTCAGACAGGCCTACATCTCAGGGACAAACCAACAACTACATTAGACGTCTCTGAAACATGAAGAGAGGGAGAAAGACAGGACTTGAGGCAATGAAAAAGGTAGAGGGAGAAGTTCTGTGCACTGGACGACCTGTTGTTCATTGATGAAAAACACTGCGATGACCCTCACCATGCCTGCACTGCTTACTGAGCCGACCCTGTGGATGGGTCTCCATCTCTCTTCTCATCCCAGACCAAAACCCTGGGGCCGACAAGGCGAGGACTTTCTCCTGAGAGACACGCTCAACAGAGACTTTTGGATGATGCATTTACAACAAATGGCTTGTGGGAAGAACACAAATTCAAAGGAAAGAACTTTTGTTTCTCACAGGGACTTTGGAAGCGCATTGATTACATTTGTTCTTCTGCAAATATACAAAAGGAAACCTCAAAGGGCTGAGATGGTACAAAACAGCCATGTTTTCTGGTGCTCTTCTAGGACATCTGGGAGGAAAAAGGGTGCAAAAGTTTTATTGTGATGGCCGTTGTTATTCTATGTAATGTAAGGCACTGGAGTAAGTAGCTCTGTTTTTTTTCAGTGGTCATAATTTATTGAATAGGCAGTCAACTATGTTGTAGACTTCACATTGTTTGTTTGTTTTTATTTTCTTGCTCTAGTACTCTACATAATGATGCATCAGCATTCTTCAGTCTCAACAGATGTGGATTTTTTTTTCTATTTTTAAAACATTGATGCACTTTTTTATATCATAGTGATACAAACTTGAATTTTGTAAATATATTTTATCTTTGTAAACACGAGTTTCAAACATCCCTAAATATGCTTCAACAAGTAGCCTTTGAGAAAGGGTATGCTTCCTGTACAGCACCTCAGCAGTCATTTCAAATATTAAAGAATATTGTCCAAATATTTCCGAACATCAAACGATGTTGAGTGTTTACAATGCTATGAAACATCCATATTATGTGTAGATGTATTGTAGTCAGGGACCCCGATTCTCTTTATCATATACATAAAGTATACCAAAGATAATAAAGTAAATATCTGAATAAAGAATTTTGAAAAAGAGTGTTTGAATGGGGTGACACGGTGGCTCAGTGGTTAACACTGTCGCCTCACAGCAAAAAGGTTGCTGATTTGAGTCCCGGTTGGATTTTCTGTGTGAAGTTTGTATGATTTCCTTGTGTTGGCGTAGGTTTTCTCCGCGTGCTCCTGTTTTCCCCCACAGTCTAAAGACATGCGCTATAGGTGAATTAGATTAAATAAATTGCCCTAGTATATAAGCGTGTGTGCATGTAAGCGTGTATGTGTGTTCAAAAAGAACTGGGTTGCGGCTGGAGGGGCATCCGCTGTGTAAAACATTTGCTGGAATAGGTGGCGATTCATTCCACTGTGGCAACCCCTGATAAATAAGGAAAAAAGTCGAAAGAAAAAGAATGTATGAATTAACAGGCAATTCATATTTTAGCAGGTGGAAATGCACAGAATTTATTTTGGTTTTGTATATATTTCCATTTTAGGAAATAGAAAAGGACTAAATGGAAAACGTCATCATCCTATCATTAAGTATTTTCCCATATTTCTCATGTATTTTATATCTTGAAAGCACGTTTAAATGAATATAAAAATGTCTGCATTCACTTTTTTTCCATTTAAGCTGTGCGTCAATCAACCTCAGAATTAGTGAATGCATGTATACGGACCCGCTCCTATCACAAACTGATCCCACATCAGCTTCTGTACACGCCATTTAAAGATGAGCTAAAGTGCTGGACAATTTGGGAATCGGGTGTGTGTTTAAACAGACAAATAGTCTTAATAATACATAAACATATCTGCCCTGCGTGTTTTATTTTAAACACAGCTAATTTTCTCTTAAATGAGCACAAACAGTTACGAAAGTAATGGAACGCTTTCATTATAGATCTGTGCATTCTTACAAAGACACCTCTGTTATCAATCAAAACAAAACAAGAGATTCACTTGCCGCTCTTCACTTGTTTGATAACAGCTGTCACTTTACATGGCATGTACAGAAGCTGATCTGGGATCAGTTTATCATACAGAGTGGGTCTGTATACATGCATTCACTAATTCAGAGGTTGCATATGAAGGGTGATGATCGACATATTTTCCTATCACTGTTTTTTTCTCCCACCCATTTTTTTTTTCTCCCACTCAGTTTTGTTTTCCTCCACCATCACGTCGCTTCTGGGTCTCCGTAGAAAACTGTGATTACAACAAAGGAAAGAAAGGTTTGATCTGTCAGCGATAAAAGAGAAGCACCGCTGCTTCAGTTATCTCTCTGGAAGCACTCCAATCTGTATTAGTGCCATAGCCACTCCAGTCAAAACTTGTAAAATCTCCACATTGTCTAGGAGATTCAGGAAAGTGTCCACCTCCACCAATGCAGAACTGTAGGGGGGGAAAAAGGATATTACTAACAACACAACATGTAAAACTCTTCATTAATACACCAAAGATCTTCAACAGAATGTCACAAATTACGCTTCATAAAAATTGTTGAAAATAATCCACAATATTTGAACTTACATGTTCAGTGTGACAGCCAGTTGGTTTAACACCTGAACAAAGAGCCATGGCTGCCTTCTCAGTATTGAAGACTCTGAATGTGATGAATCCAGGCTCAAATATTTCTGAAAATATGGACAGAATATAACATTAATGATGATGTCATGGTGAGTCAATGCACAAATTACATAGATATGTACACTAGATTTTGCATAAGGACTCTGAGCATACGACAATAGCGCCACCACATTTGTACAGTGCTCCCAGGACAAAATCACTAGTCAAGACTAAAGCCAATCTGAAGATTTTGCACTTCTTTGCTGTGTACGGGTGTAGTAATGAGCAAACAAAGAATCAAAGCACAAAGGCAGAACGTTTCATAGGTAAGATTACTTTTTTTTATGTTTTTGTATGTTATGAACTTTTGTGCTAAACAGGTTTTGATGACAATACTCTTACTGCCCTGAATATAAGGCAAAGTAACACCAACTTGCACTGAATACAAGGCTTATGCTAGTTTTGTTGAATAAAATCAGCAAACAATGTAAATGAAATATGACAACCGGATGCTGCGCTGCCAGAAACTTGTATTATTGTCGGGTAAGTGAAGAAGTTGTTCATAACTGAGATTCATTCACAAACGAATCACTCCCTCCATTAGAATGAGAAGTGAAAGCAGGAGAGGGGGTGTGTTTCAGTCACGGATTAAATCAAAGTAAACAGAAGGGAGGATAATACATTTCTATGCACATAAACACACATTCTTTGTCGGCAATACCCGTACACTTATTTATCATTGTAGAAAAGTGATGTAATATTTGCACACTGACCACCTGGAAAACTCCCGATCATAGATATATGTGTAGATGTGTACATATCTCTGGCTCCGGATGGCCAGTCCTCCACTACACCTTGGTCCCGCATTCATTTCAAAGAAGTGTTACCCTGTACTAAAACGGCTCTATTGACGCATTTCTACTAATAGACAAAAGCAACAGGATAGGCGATATAATGTAAATATCTATGCACAAATTATATGACGTGCAAACAAGTTATATGATTATATGATATTTTCTTCTAAAATGAGCATTTTTCTCCGACTCCTGTGTGTAGGCTCAGTAAGTTTACTTTTAAAGTGACGAATAAGTTATTTACATTGCCTTTGATGTCACATAACTGTACATAAACATAGGAGGCTGACAAAAATTTTCAATTAGGAGAACATTCCAGATGACATTTAGAGGTTTTTACATAGGAACTCTTCATATACGAACAATATATATATATGCAGCCAATTAATGATACAAACGGGGACCCCATGTAGCTACTTTCTTTCTAATTATCAGAAAATTCTGGGCTCAATTGTGCTGACATACCTCTTGAATATGGACCATACAGGTTTTTGGTAGATTCCTCATTTCCAGTATCATATACAATTGGGACAGCAGGTCCATTATCAATGTTGCAGGAGCCGATTCCAAACCTCACAGGGAATTTCTGGAAAATTGAAGATAAAAATATTATTATTACTTTTTGTCATCTTCATCTATATTTTCAGTTACTGTTTTAAAATCTAAAATGATGCCAAAGTTTTATCAAACCATAAATAACTTGAATAGGTTTCCTCCGTGTAGGGTCAGGAAGTGATTTTCAGTGTGGTATCTGAGGATGGAGCCATGGCTCCAGTGTTCCAACTCCATATTATTAGGCACATGCCACACAGAAACATCCTGAGCTGCAATGTCATAGTATCCCGGATTCTGTCAAGTCAAGTAATATTTATTTCTATACAGTAGGATTTACAGTAAATTAGGAGCACAGTAATAAAAAAGTAACAAGTGTGAATGTTGCATAATTAATCAATTATGAAATATGTTTAAGCTAAAGCTAAAAACATTGAACCCTGTCCTATATGTTGAGGTATCAGGTTAGTCAAGCCATTATTGCAACAAAATACCTTGTAATCATCACTTGTTGCGGCCTCTGCGGCTCCAAATGTGACTTTGTTTGCCCATGTGCCTTCACCTTTGGGCCGGTTTTCATTGCTGCCCTGTTCACTAGACCAGCGGTCACCAACTGTACACTTTCCATACATGTTGTTTTCATGAACACTGGCCACCAGCGTCCAGCCGCCGCCTGCAGTGGTCATGTCACAGAACGTCTGGTAAAGGACTCCTCTTGAAGAGATCAGATAGTACAGGCCATCTGTGTGTCAACACAAGCATTCCTCAGTCACACACATGCAGATGCTGCCTAAGATTACAAAATACATTGTATGATGTATATTGTACCCTCAGTAACATGGTACTTGTCACGGATGTCTTTGCAGCTTCGAGCAATGTATTTCATTCTGGCCATAAGTTTTGACATCTCAGGGTCATTGCTGATATTGATATTAGCAGATGATGGTTCTTGTTGATTTGCTGCAATACCAAAAATTAAGATTTTAAATTTCTTTTACAAAATCAATGTTAATCCAAACAAAGTAGCCTATTACACTTACTTTGCACATTCTCAAAGAATAACAAATTCAGAGAGAGGCACAAAATGAGCCCTAAAAACATGTTGTGCTCTGAAAAACAGAAGAAAAAAAGATGCACTTTGACCAGTGTTTATGAACACAGAGTTTTGCTATTAGGGTCACTGAAATCTTTACTGACAAATATTTACTTTTGATAATCACATTTTGACCAAGTTACTATTTTACTTATTTTTGCTTTGTCAATTGTTTTGCGAAAAATGCACTTACCGAGTTGCAGATATCAAGGAGGATTCAGGATTGACTGAAAAAAAGGCAAAATTGTTTAATAAGTGACGGTCATGTGCGTTTACTTTTAAACCTATTTACTAATCACAGTATTAAACGAAAGTTAAGCATTCGCTTTATGTATTTTTCTTCACATTTATGTGTAATAGTTCAAGTATTCTTACGGTTGTTTTTGTACTGAGTTTCTCCTTGCAACAGCTTTCGCAACCCAGATAGCAAATTACATCTGGCCCAGATATGGCCCACATCCCCCATTTTCTTCTGGCCCACATACCGCGCGGAATGACGGCGATGACTCAACCTGATTGTGGCTGACATAAGGATCCAAAAGTCAGCCACAACTGAACCAGATCTGGGCCATATCTCAGAAAAAGCATGGTCCATATCTGGGCCAGATGTGGCCCATACATTTTCTCAGATCTGGCCCAGCTGCGGCCCATGCACATTCTCAAATCTGGCCCAGCTGCGGCCCATGCACTTTCTCAGATCTGGCCCACATGCAGCCCATGCAGTTTCTCATATCTGGCCCAGACGCGGCCCATGCAATTTCACAGATCTGGCCCAGATCTGGTTCAGTTGCGGCTGACTTTTGGGTTAGATGTGGCTGACATCTACATTTGGTAGCTATATAAATCACATTAAAAGGAATGCTTAGTTTAAATTGCTTTATTTAAAAAAATGCTTTAAAAGAAGCATATAAATTGATAAATACAAATATATAAATTATATAAATAGATGCATACAAAAAAACAACAACAGATTGATCAATGCAATACAAATAAATATATGAATTAGATAAATAAACGCATACAGAATTATCACAAATTAAATGCAAATAAATATATATAAAAGTTAAAATTAGGTAAGTGGATATACAGAATAAGAAGAACATACAAACACAAATGTATATACAAATTAGATAAATAGATACAGAAAAAAAACACAGAAAATATATATATTTTTTTATAAAATGCATATTAATTAAATTAACAAATATTTTATAACCATATAGCCAGAACCAATAATTAAAGAGATAAATAAAGGGCAATCCAAAAACAAGATCAGAGGCGAGGCAGGGGTCAAATAAACAAATGATAATTACAGAAACAAGATAAACAAGTATGAGTAGACAGAACAAACACAGAAATCGCATATTTAACAAAAATATATTACTTAAATAATTACAACTAAATATTTATTAGCATTTACCTAGAACCAAAAAAAAATAAAAAATTTAAATTAAATAAACTGAAAATCCAACAGGGCAGTCCAAGAGTGAGGTCAGGGTCGAGCAAGGTTAAAGCCAAAAAAAAAAACAGTCCAATGCAAAAAAAATCCTGAAAATAGGAGAAGACAACAATTAAAAGGTGCTGTTTGCAGAGTACATACAGGTAAAACTGGATTAAAATTAAGGACTTAAGCACTTTTTTAAGCACCTATTTTTATTTTTAAGACAAAGCAACGTATTGAACACCTGAAATGTATTCTCAGCAATACATAAAAACATTCCATAGGAACTACCTATCAATTTATATATAAAAAAAAAATAATATTAATATAATATTTCATAGTATTAAACCTATTTTAAATGTGATTGTGAAATTATTGTTTTTTTATGTTTTCGTAGATGGAAAGAGAACTGAAAATTAAATTACATTAAATTAAAGGACTAGAAATACTATTACATTGCTAAAATAAAACAAATTTTAGTAAATAATACTAATACAGAGTAAAAGAACATGGTACTATTTTAATTAGTTACATTTGGAAAAAAAATCGGATTTTCATTACGGACCTTTTTTTAAGTGTAAACTTGTTTGAATGGTTTAACTGTTTAATTACAAGACTACATAAAAAGAAATTTGCACTAACAAAGGAAGTTTATTTTAAGGAAATATATTTTCAAGCTTAGGAAGGTTTTACGTATATGATGAAAAGATGTAAAAATTTAAAATGTAGCCTTTTATTTACACATTTTACACGGTTTTTCTTGTTTGCTCATTCTGTGTCTGCCTTTACAATCTGGCAAATTTGTTGCTTAAATAACTTTTATAGTACTTGGATTTTTTTTTACATAATTATAAACAAATGACTTTACAAAAAAATATATTTTTAAAAATAATAAAACAAATGACTTCATTTCATTTGAGGTATTTGAAATATTTTTTTACATTTTCTACATTTTTTAAAGAGCCTTTTTGTTTATTTTGATAAATGTAATAACAGATTGCTTTGACCTGTAATGCCTGTACAATTTAGTGACGCTTTAAGACAGACTATGTATAAATCATACAAATACCTCATTCAAAAACGTTTCCAGCATACCAACCCCGTGACGTCAGACACAGCAATATTACAAGATGGGGATGCCTTTGTGCTAAAAGCTTTAGTTAAACATGCCCATTTCATCAAAATTGTTACATTAATCAAGTTTGGTTATTATATTTTTATTAAATCGGAAAGCAATTTACGAAATAATGTAAACTTGATTGACTGCATCACTTCTACTACAAGACACTGGGAAGAATTTTTGCTAGGAAGATCTGACATTCACTGACAAGTTTACTCCATCAATTCATAGTCTGAAATCTTGGTAATTAGTGAAAGTACCTTTGAACTGACCGCAGATCTTGATGTGGTCTTTCTTGATCTGGTCTTCTCCACTTTCGATCCTTCCCTGGGTTCATCTTTACAAGGAACCTGCTGAATGGAAAAAAAAATACTTATTGATAAAACCTGGACTATATCATGCTCTAAAATGTTTGAAATAAAAGCAGCGTAACAGGACAAGCTAGTGGTGGAGGTTTGCTAGAAAAATCTGTGAGAGAGGATGTTGTGTGTGAGTCAGACTGAGACAGACTGTTGTATGAATGTGTGTTTTTGAGTGTATGAATGTGAGAATGCAATCACAAGAGTGTGTGTTTTGCTATTTTAAATATTAGGGTCCAACAGAGTAATTTGTTTAGTTAAGTTGTTTAAAATTATTTTCATTGATTAAATACTTGCCCATATATAGATGTAAAGAATAACCAAAAGAAATAATGTATTAAAATGTCATTATATTTTATATTCAATCTGCAAATCAATTGTTGTGAAATTTGAATGACTTCCATTCAGTATATGAATAAAATAAAATTAAAATAGGAATAAAACAATAGAACTCTATAAAAAAATACTTCCTATCAAAATAAAGCAGGTGCTTTTACCTTAAGGAACTTTATTAGTATGGTTCCCTGCTTCCGGTTAGTTCAACTTCAGATACCTCCATAATCTGTACTCTGGTGCTTCATTTGGTTCTTGACTTAAGAGTAACTAGTGTCGCATTCCCGGTCCATCACAATCTGAGCTAGAAGGACAATATGACAAAAGACAAGACAAATATGAATACACATAACATACAGAATAAAACATTTAAAGATATAGTTTACTATTCTGCCACCATGTATTCATCCTCTACTTGTTTCAAAGCAGTTTGAATCTGTTAAACACTAAAGCAGATATTTTGAAGAATGTTAGAATCCTGTAACTATTGATATACATAGTAGGAAAAACTGGGTTTGTGTTCATTCATTTTCTTTTTAGCTTCATCCCTTTATTAATCTGGGGTCACCACAGTGGAATGAACAGCCAACTTATCCAGCATATGTTTTACGCAGCAGATACTATTCCAGCTGCAACACATCACTGGGAAAAACCCATACACTCTCATTTACACACATTCACTAAGGACAATTTAGCTTACCCAATTCACCTGTACCGCATGTCTTGTGGGGGAAACCGGAGCACCCGGAGGAGACCCACGCCAAGACGTGGAGAACATAAAAACTTCACACAGAAATGCCAACTGACCCAGCCGATGCTTGAACCAGAAACATTTTTGCTGGGAGGCAACAGAGCTATCCACTGTACCACCGCACCGTCTGAGTTTATGTTCAAAAGAACAAAAAAAAATATTTTGAAACAAGTGGAGGATAAAAGATGTCATTATTAGATTTTTTAAATAAGCTATGACCTCACACAGTGATAAAATAGCACCAATAAATCTTGTAATATTTTAATAATAAATAAAACATAAAATATATTATTTCAGTTCCCAACAACCAGTCTGACATATACAAGTTACAAAATATGTACAATATTGTACCTGGTGTGCTTGATGATGAAGTCAAACAGTTAGTAATGCACTGATGTGAGAGTTGTCCTTTCCTTCAGCTTGCATCCTTGCATGATTCCTTTCTTTTCTGTAACAAATTAATACAATACAATCAATTTATAAAAATATTATTTTTACTTGCCACAAAACCATTTGTTTGGACTTGATACATATGTACAAGATTAATGGTGCAATTCAGTTTCCAGGCTGTTTTGAAGTAATATAAAACATAAGATATGGATTTTAAGCTTTTTTAACACAATTGATTTTATTTTTTAACAAGGTTTAATATTTCATAACACACTTAGCCTTCTTTTTTAGCTTATTAATTTCCTTCATAAGTCATTTAACACATCATGTTTCATCTGTGGATTTTTTTTCAAACGTTTTGGCTTTAAAACAGTTTTTAATGCAGACCAGTCTCAACAGTGGCCAGCATGAACCACATAACGTTACTCTGCAAACTTTTGCTGAAACATGATAAAACACACATTAACAAGCAAATCAAGATCATTAGGATTAACGTTACCAAAAAGAGAATGTTCGTTCAGTGTTTGAGCTTAAAACCAGTACAAAAGCAGAACTCGGCACCTATTACAACTGTATAAAACGGACAGCATATGATTCATTCATTCAAGCTCCCGTTTCGACGCTGTTCTTCATATAACACGTCTTATTGATCATTTCAATTGTAACTTAAATGAATTTGTTGAAACCCCGAGCACAATCAACTTAACAGATTACTGAATTGACGGCGGCCATCATTCTTAGCCGTTTTTAGCCATATTATCCACATTTAAGTTACAGTTTTATCACTATTCAAAACAGGGGCTTTTCTAACAAATAAAAACATTACCTGACGACAAATATCTCACAAATATGATTTTAAAATAATAACTTACCCGATATAAAGAAGAAGATGAAATGGCGGACTTGACTTCACTTCCTCGTTTGAAAAAAATAACCGTCATTCACGAGGCTCCGCCCACTCCACCGTAATGCAGGGATGAAGCGAAACACATATTCGCCACCAGGGGGCAGTTTATGATTATGTTTTTAAATAAATAAATAAATAAATAAATAAATAAATATATATATATATATATATAAATAAATAAATAAATATATATATATATATATATATATATAATATTATATATATTAGGGTAAGGGTAATTAGGCAAGTTATTTTATAAAAATGACTTGTTCTGAAACTGTAGAAAAAAATATATAGCTTAAAGGGTTTAATAATTTTGACCTTGAAACACTTTTAAAAAAAAATAAAAAACTGCTTTTATTCTAGTCGAAGACTTTCTCCAGAAGAAAAAATATTATCAGACATACTGTGAACATGTCCTTGCTCTGTTATGTAACATGCTGTAATTCTAGAATATTTACTGTTATTTTTAATATTCAGTAGCTTGTTATATAAAAACTATAACACTTATATTTACAATTAACTAATTGCTAATTAACATGCTTATTAATAGCATATTGTCTATAAAATGTGTTGACGCTGTTACAGGTGCACACACACAGAACCAGGATAGACTTTTGGGCCTTTCTATGTTGAGTTTGCATGTTGTTTCTGTTGGTTTCCAGTTTCTTCCATAGTGCAAAAATTTGCAGTATAAGTGAATTTTGGATAAACTAAATTTGCTGTAGTTTGTGATTAAGATAATGTGTGGTGTTTCCCAGCACTGAGGATTGTACCCTCAGGGCTGTGTTGCAGAAGCATTAGTATCTGATTGCAGACTTGCATATGCAAGCTGAGACACACAGTTTGACATGCAATGTCAGAAACAATGCACTCAAATAGAGCTAGTGACATCAAAGTGAGGGGTAGGGTTAGGAGCGGGGTTAGGTGTGCGCATTAAAATTGGTCAGATTTATTTTTATTATTTTTTGTGTTCTGTAGAATAAGTAAATAAAACTTTGTGTTGTTTACAAAGATCAGCTTATTCACGAACACATTCATGTTATTCACATTCTACTGCTCAGTTCTCTGACATTTTTTCTATATAGTTATTTTATTCATAATCAAAACATTTATGTGTATTTAATATTTAGATTAAATAAAAAAAGAACAATGTTGTATGTGGCATTTAATAAAAAAAATCATTATAAAAATGTAGAATTGCAAATTATATATAACACCAAGAAAACAGCACTTTAATTCAGCATTATTAGATTATGAATTCATTTGTAAAATTGTTCATTAAAAAGTAGTACTAATAGCAAATTAAATCCACCCAGTAGGTGGCGGTAGGACACTGTCTTAATTCATTCAAATGGAAAAACTGAACAAAACATTAATAGATCAAAACATAATAAATGATGAAACTCATTGCATTTATAGACATTTATAGACATACAGGTAATATGAAAAAGAATTATGAATTTTACTCATGCTGGAACATTTACATATAACTGATAATATAAATTTATATTCATAGCAGCCTTAAAGTGAAATAAATCCATTATTGAGGAAATAAACTGAATTAATACGTGATAAGGTTACAAACATATACATTCCCGGATAAGCAATAGCTTATTCCTATTCTTAATAACCTAAAGAATCATTTTCAATCTCAGAAAGTCTTATTTAGAACATGCAATGTTATTATTTTTAGAGAAGGTGTAGCGCTCTCACTGCCTGATGAGGGACAATAATGTTAATAAAACCCAGGAAACACAGAACTGCTGCTGCTTCACATCAGAGTCTGTGTAATGTTTGAGCAGCAAGCCCCTCCCACTTATTAGGTATGCAGTCCACAGGCAGAAGTAGCCGATCGGAAAAATGTAAATCCTTGCATCACATTACATTCATTTACAATATTTATTTTCTATTTTCTACTTCATAAAACGAAAGTGTACAGACTTAGAAAGACAAATCAACTTTGATTTTTAATTTCTAATAATTTGTAACCACGTCAAAGGCTCCCGTTCATTTATAGTTAAACCGGAACTAAAAATACACAACTCGCACTACACTCGATGCGTCACACACGGGCCACATCTGGCCCACATACAGCAGGCCACAACTCACACTACACCCGGTATGTCACACACGGGCCATATCTGGCCCACATACGGTAGGCCAGAACTCACACTACACCCGGTGTGTTATAAAGCATTACACCAACCTGTCCTGTAGAGGTCGCTATTGGACTACTTATCCTATGTGCCTTACAAAGACGTGCACGCGGACAAGAGATTATCTCCCGGACGGACACGTCACCGGAGGCGGAAGGTTGATGACGTCGACAGAGTAATGGCGGCGAATTCAAACAATCAAAATAATCCAAAGAATAGAAATCGAGAAAATAAAGTTGGGAATGGATCAGAGACTCTAAGAGTAGAGAATAGTGGTGAAGAGGAGGAAGAGGATGATATGGATATAGGATGGACACAAATAGAAGGACGATACGGGAAAAAAGCATCTAGGAAAAGGAAAAAAGGTAAGGAGGATGCATCGGAAAGTAGTTCGCTTGCGAGTGAGGAGGAAGGGGTTGGAGAAAAAGCCAAATTAGGATTTAGGATAATATTAAGATTCAAGGAAGAAACGGGAGTTTCAGGAATAAATCCAATGATGTTGACACATGAATTAAAGAAACAAGTAGGTGAAATCGCATTCGCAAAGGTGCTTCAGGATGGTGCGTTAATGATTGTGTGCAAAAACGAAGAACAGAAAAATAAGGCAATGAAAGTAAAAACAGTGGGGAAGAAGGTTGTTACGAGTAGTAAGATCATAGGTCAGAATTCATGGATATTTGGCGTGATAAAAGGAGTTCCTATTGGGGTAACAATGGAGGAATTAAAAAAGAATCTTGATGGAGGTAAAGTCATAGACGCAGTTAGATTGAAGATGAATAGAGAAGGAAGAAGAATGGACAGTCTGTCGGTGCGCATTAAATTTGAAGGAAGAGAAATGCCAGATAAAGTCAGAATGGGATTCATCAGCTACCCAGTTATAGAATACAATGCACCTCCAATGAGATGTTACAACTGTCAGAGGTATGGGCACACAGCAGCTTTATGTAAATCAAAAATAAGATGTGCGCGATGTGGAGGGGAACACGAATTTGGAAAGTGTGAAGAAGGAGTGGAGGTGAGATGTTGCAACTGTGGAGGAGGACATAATGCTGCATATGGAGGTTGTGAGGCAAGAAAAAGGGCAGTGGAAGTTCAGCAGGAAAAAGAAAAAAACAATCTAACTTACGCTGAAGCAGTAAAGATGGTGAGGGAAAAGAGGAAGTCAAATGAAACAGTAAGATTGGATTCAGGTAAGAAAAATGAAGGAGAAGAAAGAATTGGTGAAAGTAGGTCATCAGAGGATTTGGCGTTAGTAAGCAAGAAAAATTTTGTACTCTTCATGGTAGAAGTAATTAACTGCACTGCCCAAACAGAAAGAAGAACAGAAAAGATACAAATAATAATTAAAGCAGCAGAAAGGTATCTGGAAATAAAGGGTCTGAAGAGTGATGATATAAGAAGAAGCCTCAGTTCAGATTTTCAAGAGAGTCAGGAGATAGGAATAGGTTAGTAGGGTTATGTTGAGAATCCTACAATGGAATGCAAGAAGTCTATGTTCTAATGGACAAGAGTTTAAGGGATATTTAAGTAAAATGAAAGAAAAACCTAATGTAATATGTATTCAGGAAACTTGGTTGAACTCAAGGTTAGATTTTGTTTTAAAGGGATATGTAAGTGTAAGAAGGGACAGGGAAGAAGGTATAGGTGGAGGTTGTGTCACGTTTATAAAAGAAGGAATGCCTTATAGAACTTTGGAAAAAGGAGTAAACCTGGAATATATAGTGATAGAAATATGGTATGGAATAAAAGAGTATGTAATAATAAATTTTTATAACCCATGTAAAAAACTAACAATGGATAGTATGGAAGAAATTAAAGGTCTAAATGAAGAAAGGGTTATATGGTGTGGTGATTTTAATGCACATAATACACTATGGGGAGGAATAATAACAGATAGAAATGGTATGGTAATAGAGGAGATTATAGAAAAGAAAAATTTGGTATGCATGAATGATGGAGGATATACACGAATGGATGTAAATACAAGCAAAGAATCAGCACTTGACCTAACAATTGTGTCAAATTCACTGGGTGGAATTACAGTATGGGAGGTCATAAGGAAATGCTCAATTGGAAGTGACCATTTTCCTATTATTAGTTCAATTATAAATAGTGAGAATAAGAATGTTAATAAAGGTAATTCTGGAAAATGGAAGTATGAGAAAGCTGATTGGGAGAAATTCAAAGAAATAAGTGAAGAAGGGTTGAAAAAAATTAAAATGAATGAAGATATTGAAATTGAAAGGTTATATGCAGAGTTAAGTTATGTAATTCGGCATGCAGCAAATGAAAGTATTCCAAAGAGTTCAGGAAAAAGAGTAGGGAAAATGGTCCCATGGTGGAATGACCAGTGTACAATAGCAGTAAGAAAAAAAAGGAAGGCATTTAAAATTCTAAAGAGAACACATAACTTGCAAAACTTGATAGAATATAAGAAAGCTCAGGCAGAAACTAGGAAAATAATCAGAGAAAAGAAGAAAGAATATTGGAGATCGTTTTGTAATGAAATTGGGAAAAGTACTCCGGTTGAGGAAGTATGGAATATGATAAGAAAAATGAGTGGTATTAGAAGAGAATATGAATACCCAGTATTAAATGTAGGAAGCAAGAATGCAGTAAATGATAAAGATAAAGCAGAAATGTTTAAAAATGAGTTCTTAAAAGTAAACAGCTCCAATAACTTGACAAATGAAAGTAAGAATATGAGAGAAAGAGTGTTATCCGGGAATTGTAATATAATGGAAAAAAGGACAGTTACCGAAGGTACGTTAGATGTCTTGTTCACCTTTTCAGAAATGAAAAGGGCATTAAAATACACCAAGACATCAACTCCAGGACAAGACGATATAAGCTATGTGATGTTAAAAAAGTTAAGTGAAGAGTCACTAAGGAAAATTCTGGAATTTTATAACAGGGTGTGGGAAGAAGGAAAATTGCCTCTAGAATGGAAGGATTCATTAATTATACCCATAAAAAAATCAGGTAAAGACCCTAGTAATCCTTTAAGCTATAGACCAATAGCACTAACATCACACATGTGTAAATTAATGGAAAAAATGATCACTGACAGACTTGGGTATCACTTGGAGAAAAATAACTTTTTCTCCCCTTATCAAAGTGGATTCAGAAGTGGAAGAGGTACAATGGACTCAGTTATTAATTTAGAAACAGACATTAGGAAAGCGTTAACTAATAAGGAAACAGTAGTGGCAGTTTTCTTTGATATTGAGAAAGCATATGATATGCTATGGAAGGAGGGCCTGTTAATTAAGTTGAACCAAATAGGAATAAGTGGTAGACTATTTAATTGGATTAAAGAGTTTTTAATTGAAAGATATATTAGAGTAAAGATTGGGAAAGATGTGTCGAGTAGAGGAATTATTGAAAATGGTACTCCACAAGGCAGTGTTATAAGTCCTTTGTTATTTCTAATTATGATTAATGATGTTTTTTCAAGTTTAGAAAGAAATATCAATAAATCTCTGTTTGCAGATGATGGAGCTCTATGGTTAAGAGGCAGAAATGTGGATCATATAGTTAATAAAATGCAAACAGCATTAATTAAAGTTGAGAACTGGTCAAATAAATGGGGTTTTAAATTTTCAGTGGAAAAAACCAAATATATTTTCTTTACAAACAAAAAAAGTAGTATTGACCTAAAACTGAAAATATATAATATAGAATTAGAACAAGTAAAAATGATCAGGTTTTTAGGTATGTGGTTAGATTCTAGAGCTACATGGAGTAATCACATCAGTAAGATGCAGGAGAAATGCAAAAGAATTTTGAATGTAATGAGATGTATTTCTGGGCGTGAGTGGGGAGCAGATAGACTAGCTTTAAAAACTATTTATGTAACAATGATCAGAGCAATTTTAGATTATGGTTGTGTGGCATACAATTCAGCAGCAAAGTCACAATTAGAAAAACTTGAAAGAATACAATCCCAAGCTCTTAGAATTTGTTGCGGAGCATATCCTTCCTCTCCAGTTCCAGCTTTGCAGGTGGAGATGGGGGAAATGCCAATTCAACTAAGAAGGAAACAACTGATATTGACATACTGGGCAAGAACAAAAGGCCAAGAGGTTAATCATCCTGTAAAAACACTAATGGAGGTATGTTGGGAATATGGGAAAAAGAAAATTAATAGCTTTAACTGGATTATTGAGGAATTAGTGCAGGAAATGAAATTAAATGAATATAATATTATACCATCAATAGTTCTACCAACAACACCTTTATGGATATTACCACAACCAAAAATAGACCTCAAATTATTGAAAGACAGACAGGAAAAAGGACATGAGTTAACAGAGGGATATCTAACAAGAGAGTATATCGGGACAAAATATGATCAGTATACACACATTTTTACAGATGCATCAAAAGATCCGCAAAGTGGCCGGGTGGGGATCGCATATATTATTCCAAGTTTAGATGTGTTAGAAGGGAAAAGAATATCTAATCATTTGTCAGTATTTACAGGAGAGCTGCTAGCAATTATGCTAGCAGTCAACAAAGTTTATGAAATGGATCTAAACAAGTCGATAATATGTTCTGATTCAACTTCAGCGTTACTATGCCTGGATATTAAAAAATCGGAAACTAGACAGGACATTATAATAGAAATTCTTCAATTATTACAAAATTTAGAACAGAAAAACAAAATAGTTGAGTTTGTATGGGTACCAGCACATTCAGGAGTTGAGGGCAATGAAGCAGCAGATAGATTAGCAAAAACAGTAATGGCAAAAGAGAGGATAGAAATGAAAATCAGGTATAGTAGGGCTGAACTTAAATCAGTAATTAAAAAGGGAATACACAAAAAGTGGCAAATAAGTTGGGACAATGAACAAAAAGGCAGACATTTATATGCAATACAACCAAAGGTAGGACAGATTTTGAAATCATGGGGGAGCAGGAAGGAGGATTGTATTCTTTCAAGAATAAGGATAGGACATACAGGGCTGAACGCTACATTACACATGATAGGAAAACATCCAACAGGGTTGTGTGATGGATGCGGAGAAAGAGAGACAGTAGAACATGTAATCATTAGTTGCAATAAATACACAGAGGAAAGAAATATGTTAATTAATGACCTACAGATAAATGATGAACAAATAACACTGAAAGAGTTTTTATATCAGGAAGGAAAGAAATGGTTGATTCAATTCTTAAAAAGAACTCAGTTAATACATAGGATATAGAATGTCTAAATATATTTATTTAATTAACTTAATTATTATTTTATTTATAACAATATTAAGCTTTCTCCTCTCATCTACTATGTTTTCTATGTCTCGGCTGTGAAGGACCTGAGCTGTAGATGGAGGAGCTGAACACGCAGCAACATCGAAGGCTCGGGTTTTGAAGAGTCAAGAGGTAAAAAAAAAAATATATATATATATATATATATATATATATATATATATAAATAAATAAAAATAAGTGAGTCTCTGATCCATAACCCACAGTAGGTGGCGGTAATGCTCTGATAAGAATGCGAACCGCCAATAAACACCAGGAAGAAGAAGAAGAAGAAGAGCACACGAGAGAACAATGTAGTCGGAGTGAAGCCACGGGCAGAGAAGTTGTGTGTTGCTAATCAGCGTTGTTTGGTGGATTTGTGCGTGTTTTAAACCGTGAGTACATAAATGTTCACGTGCTGTATGTTTACTGAAACTTAAGGAGTATGTTAGAAGAGATTTTATGCTGTTTATCAGCATTAATTCGATGTTCTGTGATCGCCGTGATTTGAGATGATGCAGCAATAATTAGCTGACGCTAATTTGATACTCACGTCGTTATTGAAGTTAATAAGTGACCAGCTGTGTGTATATCGTTCGATTTCAACCTGTTTATATTATGTTAGTCAGTATGTATGATTATTGCAGCCTTTGTCTATATTTTATGCAACATGTGACCCAGTTTGTGTCAAACACCCAGTTAGCAGCAATTTGGACTTCATATTATGCTGCTGTCAGTATCTTAATACAATTATCCATTTGCGCCTAACTACTTACCCGTATTATATTTTGATCCAACTGTACTATGTTTAATGTTGTATTACAAATGTAACTTTGATTTAATATTGTTTATTGTTATTCCTTTTTTGTAGAAACCACATCTCTATTCACCATTGTGGAATAAAGCAACATAATTTAATTATCCCGTCTCATGCATTCTAATCGATGCACCACAGTGATCATCACCTTTAAACTGGCAACTTAGTTGAATACTTCTCAACACGGTGTGTCACACACGGGCCATATCTGGCCCACATTTGGTAGGCCACAACTCCCACTACACCCGGGGTGTCACAGACGGGCCACATCTGGCCCACATACGGCAGGCCAGAACTCACACTACACCCAGGGTGTCACACAAGGGCCTCATCTGGCCCACATACAGCAGGCCAGAACTCACACTACACCCGGGGTGTCACACACGGGCCACATCTGGCCCACATGCGGCAGGCCACAACTCACACTACACCCGGTGTGTCACACACGGGCCACATCTGGCCCACATACAGCAGGCCACAACTCACACTACACCCGGGGTGTCACACACAGGCCACATCTGGCCCACATGCGGCAGGCCACAACTCACACTACACCCGGTGTGACACATATGGGCCAGATGTGGCCCATATGTCTCCTGCCATTGCCAGAAGTGAGCCATATGTGCCTTAGTTGGCCCAGATGTGGCCCAGAACTGTATGCTATCTGGGAAGTTTGGGGCGGCGGTCAGGAGGGAGGGAGGAGGGAAGGCTGCAGACCCGGAGCCAGACAGATCTCTCCAGATCTTAGGCGCAGGCGGTTTTATGCCCCTATGGCCTGTTGTTCTTGGTGCGTCCAATAGAGGGAGACTGCGCAGTATTTTTATTTATTTATTTATTGCAATTTTAGAACACAGAACACACAAGGGCAATAACAACATTATATTGACATCAAAACAAATACAATATAAAAAGAAAAGAAAAAAATACAATTATTTACAGACAAAACTTAAGGCTTTAACATATTAACAGTTCTTTCTGCTTTGGTATTTTTTGTTTCTTTTATCTTGTATTAATATGAGCCTTATCAGAATAGTATCAAATCTAAAAAATAAACAACGCGATGAAGGGATGTTAACGTTTAGCAAATGTTAAACTGTGCAACATTTCTAAATAATAAACAACTGGATTAAGGTCGATATAAGTAGGCCTATATAGGTCAATACGTCAACTGATCGCTATAATGTATATTGAGTTACTGTGAGTTTTCTGAATTATTTCAATCAAATTTGTTAGATTTTTTTTAGTATTTATTTATTTATTTTTGTTCAAATTAAACCAAATAGAAAGAAAGTATTTCAATCCCCAAAGAAAAAAAAATACCTATAGCAAAAGTTAAAATATACATTAGCATGATAAGAACTGAATTTAAGTACATAAGAAGTAAAAAAATAAAATAAAATAAAATAAAAAAAAAAATATATATATATATATATATATATATATATATATATATATATATATATATATATATATATATATATAAGAAATAGTATTATTCACATCAATTTAAATAGTACAGTGAACAAATGTAATATGTCAAAAGTAAATATAGCAAATATATAAAAATGTAAAAATAAAATTTGATTTATATATCAGTTAGAAAAAAAACTACAAAAAGTTATACTTATGAAGAGAAAGATTTTTTCATAATTGTATTTATTTTTCTTTCATTTCACGATTGTATTAATTCTAATTTTCTCTGAAAGTAAAGTTTTTACTGCTAAAACGTCTGTCTGGTCTTTGTGTTAATGTGTTTTGTTTTGCCCTATTTAGTATTTTTGCTGTTACTGTTTATCATTTATATTGATATGACTAAACTATTCATTGCATAGTGCTAGTCATATTGTTGTCAATAAATAAATCCTAATTATAAGTATATATGTTTTTTACTTTTTTATTTTGTCAGCTAGGTAAATTATCCATAGAATTTTAGAAAGGTGTGAACTTTGTCTTGAAGTTCTACAGTTATCCATTACCACTGTTATATCAATAATCCATACTATCATTAGTTTTGTTTCGCTATAAATTGCTTGTATCTCTCTATATGAAAACGTATTAAGAGGCTTCAATTACTGATTCAACTGTGTTGTTGATTTATTTATTTTTTTGTTAAGAAAACAGTGAGTATATAATGTGTTTACATTTAAACATATCCTTATCTGAAATATTATTATATATAATAATGTTTTAGATAAGCATACGTTTAAACATTGACATCATATAAACTCTATAGAGTTTATGTGGTCAATGTTTTTTCTGACCTTCTGAAAGGTTTCCTATGTGTAGTTTTAGGAAGTGATTTTCAGTGTGGTATCTCAGGATAGGCAAGTGTTGAACTGTTCTAGATCACTATTAGCAACATGGCACACAGAAACATCCTGTGCCACAATGTCAAAATATCCAGGATTCTGACAAGTCACATCAAAAATAAAATGTAGTTTGTTTCAAAGCAACTTTACAGTAATAAAAGAAAAGAACAAAGACTACTGCTCTTTTATTTTATTTTCGGCTTAGCCCCTTTATTAATCAGGGGTCACCACAGTGGAATGAACCACCAACTTATCCAGCATATGTTTTACACAGTGGATGCCCTTCCAACTGCAACCCATCACTGGAAAACACCCATACACACAAATACACTACGGACAATTTAGCTTACCCAATTCACCTATACCACACGTCTTTGGACTTGTGGGGGGAACCAGCGCACCCAGAGGAAACCCATGCGAACAAAAGGAGAACATGTAAACTTCCCATAGAAATGCCAACTGGCCGAGCCGAGGCTTGAACCAGCAACCTTCTTGCTGTAAGGTGACAGTGCAAATCAAGACAAGCCTTAATGTTGCTAAATTATTTATGATTAATTTATTTTTTATTTATAAACTTTTTGTTAAAGCAGCTCTCCGGTATAGTGTCATATAGGTCAATTTATGTTAATTCAATTCAAACCAATAACAGCTGTAAATCCATGAAGTAGCATCACAGAAGTGTCATTATTTAGTTGTATAGTGCAATCAGGCAGATACTTACACTGTGGAGATCCCTGATGAAGAAGGGAAAGGGAGCCAGTGGTAGAAAAGTAAATAAGTTGTTAGTTCAGTCAGTTCACTATCAATCTTTTTTCATTTCTTATTTCCGTTTCTGTTCAATAAAGTAAATTCAGCTTATTAACAATAAAACTAATTCAGTTCAGCTATTGTATCAGCTGTAGTGGGTTTTTTATGTGTTTTTCGAGCATTCTGGTGAGTCGATTCTAGATGGATGGATGGATGGATGGATGGTTAGGTTTATGATAGCAGATAAATAAGGGACTAAGCCGAAGGAAAATGAATGAAGGAATGTTTGTGATTTAAAACAGGCAATTAAGATTTTATTTTGGTTTTATATATATTTCCATTAAGGACAGTTATAAGGAGAATCGTGTATACTGTAGTGTTTAAAATGATAATGTACTGAATATGAGTTTAAAAACTAGAAAAAGACACTTGAAGAGTTCAGATGCAAAACCCTCTAAATCCATCAGACCTCTTTTCTTGTAAATGAGCATTTTCTATCAGGCTCCTCTGATTAGGTTTAGAAGTTTCATTATATATATATATATATATATATATATATATATATATATATATATGTGTGTGTGTGTGTATATATATATATGTATATATATATATATATATATATATATATATATATATATATATATATATATATATATATAAAATGAAAAGGTTATTAGCCAGTAAATAAAATAACTTTTTTATTTCCAAAAATGTCACTTTAGACAATTCTTTGGTTTTTAACAAAGTAAATTTTCTTTTGCTTCAGAACCAGCTAAATCCACTTTTTGCTTTTTTGCAAAACCCTCTAAATCCACCTATTAGGACAAGACATTATAATTAGATTAAAAACCACTAAAGATGCTATTAGAGATTATTTTACCAAACATAAAACACAAACCACCTGAAATTAAAAATAAATCTGTCAAGTAAGTGGCGGTTCATTCCGCTGTGGTAACCACTGATAAACCAGGGAAAAAGCTGATGGAAAATGAATGAATGAAAACTTGTGCACATTAGTCAATAACATTAAAATTGACATGAATTAAATCTTAACAATCTGTTGTCATTTCTGATATTCAAGATTTAGATTTAATGTAAGTAGTGCAATGTACACATTGCAAACATTGTAAACTACGCTTGTTAGATTCAAATAATGTAGTGTAAAAATATTGTGAAACATTGTCAATATCTGTGCATTGTCCATTACTAAAAAAATAATTTATTGAAGTAATATAAATATTGTATAGTTTTATACATTATATTTATCTTTTAAAACATATAGCTTGCTTTTGAAAAAGAAACACAATGTTGGCCTAGTGTGCAAAAAAGAGGATGTCCCTCAGGAGCTGTCATTTATTCATCCTAATTATATGCAAGATTTCTTTTTCGTCTCTTAATTATCTTCATAGCATCCATGCAGGATAAAAGAACGGCATCTTAACTTCGTCTCTCGTGAAATGGAGTTGCTGTTTAATATAGCTATAGTTTGGGTATGGGGTGTCGGTGGGGTGTGGGACGATCGGTAAGTGAAGAGCGGAGGGAGAGGGGGTTGGTGGGATTGGTTGTGCGGTACGTCTCTCAAGGCAAGTGGCGTTCACCGGGGATTTAGATGATTTCAAACAAAACTGTACTACTTGAACATGTACTACATGCCTAAAGCATTCATTCAATGTCATTAGCTCATTTTTTGGCCGAAATGGTGTTTAGCGGCTTTTGCAATTAAAAAACTCTCCACCTGTTAAATGGTAAACTGTGATTACAACAAAGGAAAGAAAGGTTTGATCTGTCAGCGATAAAAGAGAAGCACCGCTGCTTCAGTTATCTCTCTGGAAGCACTCCAATCTGCATTAGTGCCATAGCCACTCCAGTCAAAACTTGTAAAATCTCCACATTGTCTAGGAGATTCAGGAAAGTGTCCACCTCCACCAATACAGAACTGAAGGGAAAAAAGGACATTTCTGTTGTAACTAAATATCTTCATTTATACACCAAAGCTCATCAACAGAAAGCACAATATTTGAACTCACATGTTCGGTGTGACAACCAGTCGGTTTAACACCAGAACAAAGAGCCATGGCTGCCTTCTCAGTATTGAGGACTCTGAATGTGATGAATCCAGGCTCAGATATTGCTGAAAACATCCACAGAATATAACATTAATAATGATGTCATGGTGGGTCAATGCAAAAATGACTTCTTTACTTACTTTTAATTATTAGAAATTATGGGCTCAGGGTGCTGACATACCTCTCGAATTAGGACCATAGAGTTTTTTGGTTGATTCCACATTTCCACTATCATACACGATCGGGACAGCAGGTCCATTATCAATGTTGCAGGAGCCGATTCCAAACCTCACAGGGAATTTCTGGGAAATTAAAGATAAAAATATTATTGTTATTACTGTTTTTAATTTTAATACTTCACAAAACTGTTATATTTGTCAATATTTTTAGCAAATGTAAAAAAAAATCCAAAATGATGCCAAAGTTTCATCAAACCATAAATAACTTGAATAGGTTTCCTCCGTGTAGGGTCAGGAAGTGATTTTCAGTGTGGTATCTGAGGATGGACCCTTGGCTCCAGTGTTCCAACTCCATATTATTAGGCACATGCCACACAGAAACATCCTGAGCTGCAATGTCATAGTATCCCGGATTCTGTAACATTTCAAGTAACATTTAAAATATATAAAATTAAGATTGCTTTGAAGCAATAAAAAAAGTATCAAGTGCTAATGTTGCAACAAAATACCTTGTAATCATCACTTGTAGCGGCCTCTGCGGCTCCAAATGTGACTTTGTTTGCCCATGTGCCTTCACCTTCAGGCCGGTTTTCATTGCTGCCCTGTTCACTAGACCAGCGATCACCAACTGTACACTTTCCATACATGTTGTTTTCGTGAACACTGGCCACCAGCGTCCAGCCGCCGCCTGCAGTGGTCATGTCACAGAACGTCTGGTAAAGGACTCCTCTTGAAGAGATCAGATAGTACAGGCCATCTGTGTGTCAACACAAGCATTCCTCAGTCACACACATGCAGATGCTGCCTAAGATTACAAAATACATTTTATGATGTATATTGTACCCTCAGTAACATGGTACTTGTCACGGATGTCTTTGCAGCTTTGAGCAATGTATTTCATTCTGTCCAGAAGTTTTGACATCTCAGGGTTTATGCCATCGGTATTACTAGATGATGATTCCTGTTGATGTGCTGCAAGGTTAAATACCGACATAATGACATTTTCCATAACATAAAATGAGATTTTCAAAACTGTTTAATAAAAATCGATGTCGATTATTACACTTACTTTGTGCAATCGCAAAGAACAAATTCAGAGAGAGGCAGAAAATGCACCCTAAAAACATGCTGTACTCTGAAAAATAGCAGAAGGAAAAAAGTTGAGCTTTGACTATTGTTTATGAATACTGACACAAAGTGTTGCTATTAGGAGGCACTGAAATGTTTGTTGACATATTTACTTTGGAAATCACATTTTGACCAAGTTTTTTTTATTTTTTCATTATTATTATTATTATTATTGTTGTTGTTGTTTTGTTTTAACAATACAATCATAGTAACCATAAAATTGTATGACATCAAGTACAATAATAAACAAGGGGAAAAAAATAAATAAAAGAAAATAAATAATACTAAAATAAAATAATAATAATAAAACAGGGTACAGAGGCAAAACAATCAAATTAAATAATATTTACAAAGTCCTTATAGAATTTTACAGTTTTTACACTGTTTTTGCTGTAAACATTTTATAAAGTAGTAGGCCTAATTAAACAATTTGTCATAACACATTTTGATCAAGCTGCGTTTTCAAGTATTCGTGCTGTGACGTACGAATTATTGAAAAAATCCACTTACCGAGTTGCAGATATCAAGGAGGATTTAGGGATGACTGAAAAAAGGCAAAATAGTTGTATATATGTAAGGTCATGCGCGTTAACTTTTACAGTTATTTCGTAATCACAAGATTAAACGAAAATGTAGCATTCACTTTATGCAATTTCTTCACATTTATGTGTAATGGTTCAACTATTCTTACGGTTGTTTTTGTATTGAGTTTCTCCAACAGCTTTCGCTAGTTTGGGGTGGCGCTCTGAGGAGAGGAAGGGGAGGCTGCAGACATGGAGGCAGACCCAAACTACCCAATAATATCCAGCTGCAGGCCCGCAGAACCACACAAGTTTTAGGCACACGCAATCTAGGACACACAATCTAGGCAAACCATGTATGGTTACGACGGATGTTAATGTTATTAACGTCTTTTTGAACATCGTCATCGATATTTTTTGATATATATGATTAATAAATATTGTACACAATAAACAATAGTGTTTACTTCACTTTATTTCACAAATATTGCAATCGAGACGGACCAATGGGGAGCATTGTTTCCGATCGCCATTCAAAATTATAGACTGAACAGTTTTTAAACAGTCATTATAGCTGATCAGTCATTATTATCTGACAATATTATGGCAGATACTCGTTTACTGGCCTTGCTGAACGATCTAATTTGGACAGGTTTCATTTATATAATGGATTAATTTATAATGAAGAAAACAATAGCAAGTTAATATAGGCAATAATACATTATATGTAATAAAAATCTTTTTACATGTAACAAATGTATAACACTATATTCATATTTTACTCAAGCGATTTAATAGTGTTTATTTGCTAAACTTTCTAATAATCTTTTAATTAATGATTTCCCACATATTATTATGTATAATTTACAGTAAGCAACAAATAATTTTTAAACCAAAATTTAGCAATAGGAACAAATTAACTTTTAATAATAAAAAATATTAAGTATATATATATATATATATATATATATATATATATATATATATATATATATATATATATATATATATATATATATATATATATATATGTATGTATGTATGTTTGTAACTAACAGCTGTGACAGTTTAGTAAAAGATAATAGTTTATATATAAACTTATAATTATAATCAGTTAACTATATATATTGTTCAAATAATTAACTAATAGGCTAATTTATTTTAAAGTGACATTATTGTTTGCTTTTTATATTTTACAACAAAGTGATTTTAACCAAGTATGATAATATTAAGATCTTGAATTAGTTTATTACACTTAATCCAACAATTAGACGGTCTATAATGTTTTGTGTATGTGGACACATGAATAAAGTCATAAGTGTCTTTAACCAATTATTTTTATTTACATAATTTGAGTTCAGAAACTGCAGAGATGTTCAAATGATCGTTACGATTTAATAATAATAATAATAATGACTGAAATTACTTGTGAAATTCAATAGGTGGCGATAATGCTAATTATTAATTAACTCTTTAAAGAGTTAGTTACCATATATGGTTTGCCTAAATCGTGTGTCCTAGATTGTGTGTGGTACTGCGGGCCTGCAGCTGGATATACGCCCCTGTGGCCTGTTATTCCTTGTACGTCCAGTAGGGGACAAGGTAGGCCTGTTACTGTCATATGAGCCTTCAGAACATTATTAAAACCCAAATTAAACCTGACACGATGAGGAGGTGTGTTATCAAACGTAAAACGTAAAACTGCAACATTTCTAATCAATAAACAATTTGAGTTAGGTCGATATGAGTAGGCCTACATATCAATACGTCAACTGAGTGGTATTAAATATTATTTCAGTCAAGCGTTGTATTTTGTTTCATGTTGTGCCTTTTTAGTTTAAGTTAAACAAAATAGGAAGAAACTATTAAGCAAGCAAGAACTAAACCATATACAAACTGAAAAGGAGGTTAAGAACTGAATTTAAATACATACAAAGTTAAAAATGTTATTTAAATATATAAGAGATATTATTATTCATATCAATTTAAATAGTACAGTAAACATATGTAATATATCATGATGTAATCAGTTAGATAGAGAAAAAAAAAACTCCAAAATGTTATATTCTTAAAGGGAAAGAAGCCTTTAGAATTGTGTAAAATTTTATTTATTTATTTTTTAATTCACGATTGCATTCATTCTAATTTTCTTTAAAACTAAATTAATTATTGCAAAATCATCTGTCTGGTACTTGTGCTAATGTGTTTTGCCTCATTTTGCCCTATTTAGTGAACCTGGTGATCTGACTTGTTACTGTGTATTCTACCATTTAGATACACAGAGGAACTAAACTAGCCAGTGCACACTAAGCGCTACTGGTTATATTACTGCCCATAAATAAATCTTGATTATAAATATATATGTTTTTATATATTTTTTTAATTGTCCATGTTTTTTTTTAAAAGGAGTGAACTGTGTTTGTCTTAAAGTTCTAGTTATCTGATAGTCAATGGTACGACAGTTATATCAATAATCCATATCATCCTTACAGTATTGTTTTGCTAAAAAATGGTTTTGTTTTCTGAATGTAACTTTATGTATAAATTCACAACAACATATATACAGTATTTCTATATGAAAATGTATTACTAGGCTTAATTACTGATTATGTGGATTGTTGATTTATTTATTTTTTTTCGAAAACAGTGAGTACATTTAAACTTATCCTTATCTGAAACATTATAATAGAGTTTATATTTAACTTAACAAAAAATAAATAAAAAAATCTCCACAGCAAAATGAACCACCAACTTATCCAGCATATTTTTGCAACGCATGCCCTTCCAGCTGCTACCCATCACTGGGAAACACCCATACACACTCATTCACACACATACACTACGGACAATTTAGCTTACCCAATTCACCTATACCACATGTCTTTGGACTTGTGTGGGGAACCAGAGCACCCGGAGGAAACCCATTGCAACACGATGAGAACATGTAAACTCCACAGAAATGCCAACTGACCCAGCCAAGGCTTGAATCAATTCAACATAAATTGACCTATATAATGACACTACCAAAGAGCTGCTTTAACAAAAAGTTTATAAATAAAAACTAGATTAATCATAAAGAATTTAGCAACATTAACGCTTGTCTTGGTTCACACTGTCGCCTCACAGCAAGAAGGTGTCTAAATTCCAGTTCATAAGGTCACACTTATTACTGCAGGCAGCTAAAATATTCATGCACTCTTCAACTGAAGGCGGAAGTGGGAGTAGAGTCAGGGTGGTGGAGGGATGCTGAGGTATGGTGATTTGGTTATTTAGACATATTCTTCTTACTGATTGGATTGGTGTAGGCTTGCTATACTCTTTCTAGCAATACGCTATTCAGCCCTATACTCCAAATGTGTCATGTAACATAGCATTGGAAATCCCTCACTTGGGCAATATGGGTTACATTCGTAACCATTTGGTTTAGTGTGTATTTGTTTCTGATTATGCAAGACATCTGTCCTACTTTTCTTCAGTGATAAAACAGCACATCTTTTCGTACAGAGATGTACTGTAGAGTTCAAAATCACCTTTTGCTATCTGACTGTGTGAGTGCCATTTTTACATAGGCAAGTCCAATATTTTAAAGCATCAATCTCATAATACTGTGCAGCTTAAATTGTAGAACGTGCATTTGTGTTTTTATTAGCTACAAAGATAGATCTTAATAGTAAAAGTCTTAACGCAGCAACACACCTACATCACACAAGTTTTATTTGAACATATTTACATTTGAACAGTTTATGAACAGTGAAAGGGTTTAATGTGACTTAGCAGAAGCTAAACAATAAGGGGTTAATCTGACATGTAATTTTTCATTTATTACAAACATCATACAAATGATTTCCTAAATTATTTATTGTATTAACCTAAAAACAATTCAGAAAATAAGTGTTTATGTAACAATCAGGTGTTTATGAATATCTCAAACATGATTTAAAGGTTCATTAGAGTTTCAGCGATAAAATAGAAGCACAGCTGCTTCAATTATCTCTCTGGAAGCACTGTTGCCTGTGTTAGTACCGTAGCCATTCCAGTCAAAACCAGTAAAGTCTCCACACTGTTTAGGGACCCCCTCAGGAAAGTGTCCGCCTCCACCAATACAGAACTGTGAGTTGAAATGAAATGCAGTTTATTTGATGCATGAATAGAATGGCACAAATACTGCATGATGTTGCTGTAAATAATCCATGGTTAGTTTTAACTCACATATTCAGTGTGACAGCCAATTGGTTTAACGCCTGAACAAAGAGCCATGGCTGCCTTCTCAGTATTGAAGACTCTAAATGTGATGAATCCAGGCTCAAATTGTGCTGAAAAAAATTGACAAAACATATAATTGACAATAACAAGATAAGCTAGTACACATGTACCATAATCAAAATGATCTGATCTTCGCAATGATCATTACTAGTGAATAATACTCAGCATTAATTTATAGTAGCATTGATACAAATATTTTATGACTGGTCATAGAAACTTTTTTAATAAGCACGGACTCAAGAAGAGTTTCCATACATCTTGTACTAGGACCATATAGGGTTTTGGTAGAATCCACATTGCCAGTATCATACACGATTGGAGCAGCAGGTCCATTATTAGTATTGCACACACCAATTCCAAACCTCACAGGGAATTTCTGGGAAAAGGAAGACAAAACTTTTTAGAGTTTGGTATGAGGTCATTAATTTCACAAAATAATTGATATTTTATCTGACCTTGAACAAACTAAATAAATTTCCTCCATGTAGGGTTAAGAAGCGATTTTCAGTGTGGTATCTGAGGATGGAGCCAGTGCTCCAGTGTTCCAACTCCATATTATTAGGAACATGCCACACAGAAACATCCTGAGCTGCAATTTCAAAGTATCCCGGATTCTGTAACAGAAAGAAAGCATACTGTCGATTCAGGCTCAAGAAAAACTGAGATTGATTTTCTTAATTCTTAATTCTTGATTGTCTTAAGAACAGACTTACTGACAGTTTTTGGTATTAAATCATACAGATTTACTAAAGATGTGGAAATCAATGACCATTTTTGAACGTTTATGTTTCCTTTCCACATGCAAAATGTATTAGCAATGTTGTGTTGTGTAGCAATATTGACAAATATTTGCACTGTTATTCTCTGATTAAAAAATGCATACAATTTTGTGATTGACTTGGTTGCACTAACTTGCAGCTAGAAGGAGCAGCACAAAGAACACTATACTAGAAGGCATTACATGAACATTGCAGTTCACCACAATATTGTAATTTTGGATCAGAATGGAAAAGAGCTGCATTGTTTTAAGTTTGCACATTTTCAGTACATAACCTTTAGGACTTTAAAATGAAATACCTTGTAATCATCACTTGTAGCGGCCTCTGCGGCTCCAAATGTGACTTTGTTTGCCCATGTGCCTTCACCTTCAGGCCGGTTTGCATTGCTGCCTTGTTCACTAGACCAGCGGTCACCAACTGTACACTTTCCATACATGTTGTTTTCGTGAACACTGGCCACCAGCGTCCAGCCGCCGCCTGCAGTGGTCATGTCACAGAACGTCTGGTAAAGGACTCCTCTTGAAGAGATCAGATAGTACAGGCCATCTGTGTGTCAACACAAGCATTCCACAGTCACACACATGCAGATGCTGTCTAACATTACAAATAAAAGATACAGTATGAGATCATACCCTCATAAACATGGTACTTGTCACGAATTTCTTTGCAGCTTCGAGCAATGTATTTAATTCTATCCAGAAGTTTTTCAAGCTCATGGTTGCTGTTGGAATCACTGATGTTAATACATGGCGTTTCTGTTTCTTGTATTACATACATGGCCCCCACTGAAAAAAATGCATTAAAAAAAAGAGTAAACAGTTTTACTGTGCTGTGTCAGAAATACAATATTTATTTACACAAGTAGATTTAAAAACTTACTTGATTTAGCTTCACAGAACCATAAGCTCAATGTGACACTGAAAAGGAACCCTAATAACATTTTTGTAAGAAAGGCAGCCTGCAAAAAAGAGAAAAAGATTTAAGTAGACTGTCCGCTTAATATCTGCAGACACTGCTTCACCAACCCATTTTTCTGACTAAAAGAAACTTTGCAAGTACATGTCAACAACAAGTACACTTACTCTAATTTTACAGTCTACTAATATTCTAATAAGAATGTAGCTGTAATATCTTAAATATACAAAATGGAACCATCAGAATAAATGATACAGTATATTTAAGTCCTTAAGTTCTTTTAGTTTATTGATTGTATTGTCCGTGTTAAATGTGTTATTTCTATGTTGTTTTTTGTTTTTAAAATAAAGCTTTCTTCTTTGTGATCTATTGGATTACTATACACAGCTATTAAAGACACAAAACATATACTGTAGTACTGCTCACTAATTTGGGCTATTCTATCATCTTAACAAGAAAGCAACAAACTTACCATTCCCATAAGCTGGTGGAAAATTGTCTTTTGTGTTCTTGATGTTTGAAGTGAATGGAATTATGTGTATTTATATATTTTTCTTATCACTGGTTGACTTATGAGTAACTAACATAGACAGATGCTGAATGTTTACAGCACGTGTATATGATCATAATCTCTTAAGGGCTTGAATATCAAAGGTCTTTGCATGTTTTTTTTTTTCAAAGACCTTAAAACAATTTGTTAGATCTTTCTAGTTTCTACTAGTATGTACTAATAAAATTAAACATTTTATGTTTTCTTCTGGGTGGCACGGTGGCTCAGTAGTTAGCACTGTCGCTTCGGAGCAAGAAGGTCACTGGTTCATGTCCCAGTTGGGCCAGTTGGCATTTCTGTGTGAAGTTTGCATATTCTCACCGTATTTGCGTGGGTGATAGCTAAATTGAAAATAAGAGATCTTTAGATTAGATGTTAAGATTTAGATTAGGTACATATTTAGATTTTAATGTGTTTATAGTTAGAGGGGGGAAACTGAGAAATTATGTAAATTACAATGTGTCCAAACATCTCAGTGCAGTTATTGTAAAAAGATTGAAATGTACAACAGAGTTAGGAGATGTCAAGAAGCGACTTCATTAAGCGATTTTGCCACAAGTATTCATTTCAGCTCTGGGTTTTTTTTTTGTGTGTGTTGCAACTATGGCTCCAGGAAATGATTGAAATATTTTTCTTATCAGCGGCTGTTTTATGAGTAATTTAGTCATGTTTTATTTGAATGGCTCATTATAAATTCAGTTTATTTGCAGGTTAGCGTGTGTGTGATGCCTGGCATAGTTTAGTTTCAATGATAATGCAACATATCTTCAAAGCAGTCTGCAAACACCTGCCCTTTTGCCCTTTGACTAGATACTGCACCTGCTCTTTTTGCATTATTAGTCAATATTTGTAAAATCAAGATTTTTTTGTTTAAAACATTTATCCTATAATATTATGCAATTTTACAAATTTTTCACTGTAAATCTCAGCTAATAAACTAATAAACACAGCAAAATAACTATAACACAACTGACTGTAGGAATGATGTTGCATAAAACATTATTTTATTTTAAAACATTACGTTTTTTAAAACTTAATAAACATACTACAGTGAATTATATTATTGTCTTGTAAAGAAATGCTTAATTTTAAAACGTCATACCATCATAAACATGATACTTGTCACAAATTTGTTTGCAGCTTGAGGCTACTATAATAGTAGATGACGCTTCTGGTTGATTTGCTATAATGTAAAACAAAGACAAGCCACACCGTAAAGAAATATTCTGTGCTTGAAATTAGATTTTCAAGTCTTTTAATAAATCTCTGTCAAATAAAACAAATAATTACACTCACTTTACAACAATATTCAGTGAGAGGCTAAAAGGGAGCTCTAAAAACATTGTACTCTGAAAATAGCAGAAGGAAAAGGATGCACTTTGATTCTTTTTTTTTTTTGGTGAAGAGCGACACATAGTTTTGCCATATTAGGGGACACTGAAATGTCATTTGGCGTATTTCTTCTTCTTTTATTTCTTTTTTTTTGAAAGATAACAGATTTTGACCATTTGCTATGAAAATGCACTTACTGGGTTGCAGATTTCAGTACAAGTCTGGAATGAATCAATATGACTTTAAAAAAAAAGGGCAAAATGGGTTATTATTTGCATGTAGAGGTCAGTGTTGGATTTATTTTTGCAAGTATTTTTCAGCTTTTGATCTGGCTCCAGGAAATTCTCCTTTACTAATCAGTGACTGATTTATGAGAAACTGATTCGGTTTTATTTGAATGGCTTATTATAAATTCAGTTTAGTGTGTATTTATTAGTGTGTATTTATATCAGACGTCTGGCCTAGTTAGGTTTAGTGATAAAACAGCACATTTTCACGTGCACAGATCTACTGAAGATTCAAGTGCACAAACACATTTAGCAATCTGACTGGGTAAGGGTCATTTTTGCATAGATAAAAACCTTTTTTCATGTCTAAAATATTAGAATTAAAGCATCAATCTCATAATATTGTGCAGCTGTAATTGTAGAGCATGTTTTTTGTCTTTTCTACTTTCTAAAAGTCTCAGCACAGCAACACACATTTACATCACATTATTTTCTGCTATTTCTACATTGATCTTAACAGCTTACTGTAGCTATTGATTCACATTTTTCCATGTTTTTACATTTTTGAACTATACTATGGGATATATTATCTTTTAGATCAGGGATCACCAAACTTGTTCCTGGAGGTCTTGCAGATTTTAGCTCCAACCCTAATCAAAAACACCTGAACAAGCTAATCAAGGTCTTGCTAGGTATAGGCCTACTTGAAACCCTCAGGCAGGTGTGTTGAGGCAAGTTGGAGCTAAACCCTGCCGGCCAGGGCATCGGACCTCCAGGAACGAGATTGCTGACCCCAGTTTTAGATGCTGAATATTTACAATTGTCTTTTTTATAAGTTTGAAACACACAAATCAAAACTTTACAATTAAATAATCCTGAAGCATGAATTTCAGTGTTAAAATTGGAAATACAACCAAAGAAAGTTTGACTTCATTGTCAGAACAGGTTATCCATTGTTTTATTTGAAAATATATACAATCATGAACAATTTATTAACAATTAAAGACCAAAAAAAGACATCTTTTTGTTCATCTTTACACTATACATATATGAAGGTTTATTTAAAGGTTTTTAACCTTAAAACATTTGAGCAAACAACTGTTTGTGTAACACTGAAGTGTTTTTGAATATTTCAAGCAGAAGATTTAAGGTTGATTAAAGGTTCAGCGATAAAAGAGAAGCACTGCTGCTTCAGTTATCTCTCTAGTAGCACTCCATTCGATATTAGAACCATAGCCACTCCAGTCAAAACCCGTAAAGTCTCCACATTGTTTAGGGTAACCCTCAGGAAAGTGTCCGCCTCCACCAATACAGAACTGTAAGAAATTGAGTACATTACTAACAACACATGCATTAATTTCTCCAAAAGGCAGGGTGAATTTTATTTATTATATGAATCAATGCCTGTGGTGATGAACAGAATTAAATTATTTGTCACAGTTAATCCACATAAATTCATTGAATTAAATTCAAAACTCACATGTTCAGTGTTATGCCCAGTTGGTTTAGTGCCTGAACAAAGAGCCATAGCTGCCTTTTCAAAATTGAAGACTCTGAATGTGATGAATCCAGGCTCAAAATTTGCTAAAAAATATCATAGGTTATATCGGTTATGATTTCATTTTAGTTTCATGTACGTGTGATATGGTTTCAATTTCACGCTCATATGATCACAAATAATGATGATGCCTTGTAAATAATACACATGCCATACTTCTTGCACTTGGACCATACAGTTTTTTGGTAGATTCTTCATTTCCAGTATCATACACAATTGGAACAGCAGGTCCGTTATCGATGTTCCAGGAGCCAATTCCAAACCTCACAGGGAATTTCTGAGAAAAGCCAAATAAAAAATATATAGTTTGATGTAATATGTGAAAAATAGATGCAGATCAATAACAATAAACTTACATCTAGCAAACAATTGCTAAATAGCCCCTCTCAGTCTCTATGCTTTAAAGCTTACAAAGTTGCAGTGGTTCCTTGGGTTGGTTTTACCACACTATGGCCTGTTATTTGATAAACACCCACATTTTAAGGAGAAACCAACACAAGCAACCACGGCAACTTAGTAAGTTTTAAAGCATACTATGACGACATGTGAATTCTCGCTAAAGAAATGCTAGAAAATATATTTTAATGTTTGACATGTTTTCTTTACCTGTGTGTGTGTGTGTGTGTGTGTGTGTGTGTGTGTGTGTGTGTGTGTGTGTGTGTGTGTGTGTGTGTGTGTGTGTGTGTGTGTGTGTGTGTGTGTGTGTGTGTGTTTGTGTTATTTTTTGTGTGTGTGTAAATATTATTTGTGTATTAGTTACAATATTTACAGATTACGATTCTTGGAACTTTATCTAATAGTACAAATGTTGAATTATCCTGATTGTATGTAATAAAATGTCAAAAATCTATATGTAAAATTTATATACTGAAGTTTTTAGTGTCTAATTAAGCATCATTCAATTTGTAAAGTGACAATATATGTCAAGTGATCATATATCTCATATGGTAGATGTTATGGTAGATTCTTTTGGTCAAATTCATCAAAAAGTTTATGCATGCAAATGAAAAGTCCTTTGCTTTCCACTTCTAGAACCAAGCTCACCAAGAATTCTGAACAATGCAAACTATTTTATCTGTTTGGAAATAACAGTGTCTTTAGATGATTATTTAGCTGTGCTTAAAGCGATAAGACGACCAACCATTCAGACTATCTCCATCCCTACACACACACTCTCTCTCTCTTGCTCTCAAATACATGCATTAGATGTAAATAGATGTTCTGTCTTGTGTCTGTCATCTTTTATTATTATTATTTGATGTTGGACACACATACTTAAAGATAAATCTGCAGGTTGTATTAAATTTTTTTTAAATGATTTACCAGGACAGAAAAACGACTTGATTTTGAAATAATATAAAGTTAAATTATATGCTCAACAGATTAGCTGATCAGTTTATTGTAATTTTAATTCTGCTAAGATTAATGATAAAATCAATTTAAATGTTCATAATTAAATAATAACTTGTTATTGATTATTAATATAAGTAATTCTGAGTAATTCACTATAATAATGTCTTTTTTACTTTCACAAAAGTGAAGTCAAAATGTATCTGACCTTGAACAGTCTGAAAAGGTTTCCTCCATGTAGGGTTAAGAAGCTGTTGTCAGTGTGGTATCTCAGTATGGAGCCAGTGCTCCAATGTTCCAACTCCATATTATTAGGCACATGCCACACAGAAACATCCTGAGCCGCAATGTCAAAGTATCCCGGATTCTGTAACAGAACATGCACTATTGTCAATTCAGGTTCAAGATTTCAGTTCATGATTCAAGAACAGATTTGAATTGTTAGTCCAGCATTTTATTATTAGATTAACTAATAGCCTTTGGCATTGTTGAACAAACATAA